TTTTCTATTTTTTTTGTACATGAAAAATATAGAATCTGATAATTTTATGGTTAGAATAACTCCTTGTGAAAAAAATATGTAAACGTTTGCGATAATCAATAATTGTTATAAATAAGTTAAGACCGTTAAAAATGTACAACACAACAACATAAATATATTTTTTAGAGACAATCTACTTGTCTGAGGTCAAACGTTCACCACATTTCGTGATTGTTACTTTGTTACTCCAACAAAATTTATAGAAGGAGAAAAATAAATGTGAAAAAATAACAAAATAATATTGTTGACCCTTTTAGAAATTCATTCTTCATTAAACTGCTGCTCTGAAGGCCCTTCTAGATGCTTCATCAATATGTATGTATAATTGTTGCATTATGAAAGTACAAGTAGATCAAAATGTTGGATTCTAGATTCATGTTAAAAGAAATATTCTAGAACATTAAAAAATTAAAAATGAGTCTAACCTAGATTACTCAAATGCTCAGCAATGACTTGGGACATAAAGGACAACAAATCTATGTTAATAGACATATCTTTTGTAGCTTAATATATTACTTTTATTTAGAGCAGGTTTTGTTTCATATTCTTCAAATTAAGTTTGCCGAAAATAGTCATAACTCACACAAAAAATATTTAGAAGAGCTGAATGAGAAGGAAAAAAAGAAAAACATTTTTCCAAGTGAGATCATATACATACCAAACGAAAAATAATCAATACAATTTTAAGGAGACAACAAAACAACGAGAAAAAAAACATACATCAAAGGGAGTAAACTATGAGATATCCAATGATGATAACAAATCATTCATACCAGAAAAGTTCTCATGTTTTGAAATAACATACCTCAAAAAATTGACTAACACTTCAATCAACTTTCATTGCTTAAAGTACTCATAATATCCACTGATAAAATTTAGTAAAAATAGATAACAACAACATAAAAACAAAAAAATATGGGCATGCAAAGTTATTAACTCTCAGAGGATTTTCTAAAGAACACAAAATTTCATCCCTGTATGTGAAGAAATGACGTTGTTGATGAAGAAATTAGTGGTTTGTAAGGGCTTTTTGTTTTTACCTTCAATAATTCCAGTAGAGAAAACTTGTTTGAATACTCAATTAACATTTGTTATTTAATTTGTACTAACAACTACTTGTAACAATAATTTTGTAGAAACATAAACAACAAAATTTAAAGCATGTACTCAAAAATAACAATTAATAATATAATCATAAATTAATGACTGTAAAAAACATACCAGGATCTATAACAATAGAATGAAACAGAATGGAAAAAATCGAGCCCTCTGAATGCATTGTGTCCCCTTAAGGAAATTATTCCCTCTAGTACCCGAGATTTAAAGGAATAGATCCTCTTAGGATATAATGATTCCATCCACCAATGTATTGATACAAAAACAATGGTGTCGGTGAGTCATTCAATAGGAGCAAAGCACACAATTATTTAATTGTCCAGAAGAAGAAGTTCAAAATTTTCATTGTTTTAAAATGAGAGGAAATTCCTCTATTTATAGACAACAAAAAGTACTGTGAACAAATTCTTATTGTGTCTTATCAGAAAGGTCACAACTCTTTGAAAAAGTTATAACCCTTCGGAAAGGTCACAACCTTTCATAAAGTCACAACTTTTCATGAAAGGAGAAGACCAGTTTTGTAAATAAAATAAATTAAAAGGAAATACTGGTTTGTGGTGGCTCCACGTAGGCGGGCCTAGGGTTCTCTTTTATATATATACTCGTAAAATTACCCGCGCTTCGCGTAGGAATTCAATATCATGGAGTTTATAAAATAATACTTAAAACCTATCCATCATTAGAACTAAAACACTATATTATCTTACATACAAGATTACATAGTAACAAACATTAATAATGAAAATGAAAATTGTAACATTTTATCATTTATCCTTAATAACATAAGAATAAATTAATAACTGTAAAAAAACATACCAAGATCTGTAACATAAGCAATGATGTCAGTGAGTCACTCAACTGGAGCAAAGTACACGAATATTTAATTTAATTGTGAAGAAGAAGAAGAAGAAGAGGAGGTTCAAAATTTTTGTTGTTTTAAAATGAGTGAAAATCCCTCTATTTATAGACAACAAAGGGTAGTGTGAACAAATGTTTATTGTGCCTTATTAGAAACTATTTGGAAAAGTTGCAACCTTTCATAAAGTCACAACCTTTCATAAAAGTCGCAACGTTTCATAAAAGTCGCAACTTTTCATTAAAGTCACAACTTTTCATAGAAGTCACAACTTTTCATAAAAGTCGCAACTCTTCATTAAAGCCGCAACTTTTCATAAAAGTCACAAATTTTCATTAAAAGGGGAAGGCTAGTTTTGGAAATAAATAAATTTAAAAGGGAATCCTGACTTGTGGTGGCGCCACGTATGCGGGCCTAGGGTTCTCTGTTATATAAATATATATGATATATAGCTATTAGTTTTTGTTTTTGGCAGTTTTATGTGACAGATTTTTACATAATTATTTATCAAATTATAATTATAATTTTCTTGGAGATATTTTTTTTTAAAAATACTGAAAATTATTTTAATGATGACATGTGACACTATTTTGTAAAATACAGATTTATTATATTTTCAATTTATTCTTTTTAAGAAATGATAATTCAAAAACATTTCTGTTGATGACTTTTTTTTATTATTTACAAAATACTGATTTGAAACATTTCTTTTGTCTTTCCTATTGTATAAGTAGAAGATTAATATATATAGTTGAGTTTTAATAGATTAGGGTAGTTAGGTAAGTGGGTAAGGAATTTTAGGGATGATTTAGGTTAGTTTTTTTTTTTCTTTTTTTGTTATCTTTAACTTATTTTAAAAAAAATATTTTACCTACATATTTTTAGCTATTCATTTATTACAGTTTTCCTTTTCTTCTTTTTTCGTAATTTTTTTGATTACTTATTTATTTTTATCATGACATTTTTTAATTCTTATCTAATCAAATAGTTAATTTTGTTGTTTATAAGTTTTTTTTTTTATTATCAATTTGTACGTTGTTATTAAACTATCAAGTGTCTTGATATTAGATTGCCACTTAGAAGGGGATAACCATTTAATTTAAAAAAAAAATCATCATTACTAATTATAATAATATTTTTGTTTAATGTTATGTGCATAACTTTTGAATATTATCAACCGGAAAAATGATTTTCGCACATTATTGTTACATTATATAATTATTATAATAACTACACCACAAATTGAGATCAAAATATTTTAATTTCAAAATTATTAACCATATAAAAAAAATTAAGTATACATTTATTTGATGTTATGATTAATAAGAATAGTTGCAAATTATCTTATCACTATAAAGAATGTTGTTGAGATTAATAAGGATAGTTATAAAAAAAGGTAATTTAATAAGGATTACGCGTGTTTGTAATTTCTTAGTATTTTTGTAATTAATAATTATTTTTTAAAATAAAATCTGCAAAATTATTAATAATATATAACTATCAATTTTTGGTTTTGGCAATTTTATGTGACAGTTTTGATATAATTATTTATCAAATTAAAATTATATTATTTTGGAGATAATTTTTTGAATAAATATCCAAACTGAAAATTCGCATGTATTTTATTTTCCTTGGTGATACTGTAATTAGCTTTTCATTTTTATTCTGTCATTTATAACTTAAAATATCAGACTGAAATTTGTGAATTGAGTTCGTATGAAGTGTAAACAATATTTTTTTAATTATTATTTTGTATATCTTCTAGCAATATTTTTAAGAAATAATTAAATTAGCACTTATTATCTTAATATCCAGTAATCTACATTTTATATAGATTATTAATTAATAATAATAATATTATTTATTGTTATGATGTTGAGTTGTCCAATCATCATCTACCTTATTAACTTCCTCAACTCTCTCTTTCACCCATGTTGTTTGAAACCTCCTTCACTTGATCCTTTTCCATTGTCAATTCTCTCTCTTCATTGTTCACCTGTAGTAAAATTCCCACCTTCTCAATAACATAGAATGTATCATCTCTTGCTTCAGTTGTATTTCTTATGACATTACTGTCCGTAAATGATGAAACTTCCAATAGGATATTGTAGAATGTCACTTGCAAAATCATTGTTAATAAACTTATTTTCTTAGAGAATGTTTTCAAAAATTTTGATCAACCGAACATTTAAAAATTGAAAATATATTCCTCCATCTCAACACCCAAAGAGTAATCTCTTAGGTGAATGCATTCCCACTATTACGGATGATTAGCAATATAATTGGGCTGATCATTATTTTCAAATTGAAAGCACAGAAAGAGTGGCAAATGCTACTGGTGGTGTTAGCATCCGTTAGCTTCATGCCTTCAACTAATGACTGGACTATGCACACAAATATTTCATTCTATTATAGGTAAAATATGACCTCAATAGAGAGATAATTCTTGCAAGATACTAACTTCAGCATTTTTACTACTATCAATCAACTGATTAAAAAGGGAAATCCCAACAATACCAACCATACAAATGATTAAGATACATAAATTAACGCAACATGTATAGTTATGACTTGATATAATTTTGAGGAAAATGAGATCACATTCCTTTTTGAGGAAACGGGAATTTGAACTTTCAAGTCAATTTAAAGTGCTCAGGATGAAAAAAGATAAATGCTGAGATATGAACTCATTTGAGCAAGTCTCTAAGCTGCCATTCATGAACAAAAAGTCTGGTATTTCTTCATAAATTACCATCAGGAAACAATTTTCCTGAAGTTGGCATCTGCACTCTAATGACATACACTCCTCCAGCAAATAGATGATATAACAGTAAAGCTTCATCCCAGAATCGACTCAGTGAAAGGAACCATTTCCACTATTGTTAATTTACTTCCCCTTTTAGTCTCTATAATGGTATCAAAGTGGCATGTTTTGTAGAACAAAGGTTATCACTTATTACTATAAGGAAAAATGAGTACTATCTCGATGTAAATAAAAACAGTAATTTCCTATATGTGGAGAAAATTTACAAAATTTATACATGAATGTGAGCTCCCTGCCTTTCTCAAAGGCAATTCAATCTCAATAATACACAACTACAAAAGATATGGGAAGCACAATCTACCCGGAGTCAAAAATTTGGCAGATATCAAACTCATCCTTATTTGCCTAGGCATCTATATGTATGATGGTTACTATAAATATTAAATCTCAAGCAGAACTTCCGCTTCTAACATGTCTCACCGACCTTGAGGATAACTACTTTGAAGGCAAAAAAGTGTTTTACAATCATAAGCTCGTCAGCCACTTGAGGCATCATTATCGCTATCTCCACTCTCATCACTGCAACATGAAAACAGTTAGAATATGATGGGCCAGTTGAAGGCACAGCTGCCCAAATACAAGAAAATAAAATTGATGCTAAAAGTGCACAATATAAAGCAGCTAAGAAGATAAAAGATAGACTAAATTCCCCCAGGGATTTGGTTCAGTTGGAAGTGCTGCGAATGATGTGTTGGTAAGGTGGTTCAAATGATGCTGTGGACTAAAAGCTTAACAATCAGGTGGAAAAGCGTACAACAGCAGGACCATTACCACCGGTTTTGAACCGTGCACAGATCAGCAACACCATTTAACTTTATGAATGGAATTGGACTGATCTTCACAACATCTACTATTTCTCTCTCCACAGTCTACCAGATGCAATGTAGAATGATTCATCTGGTGAACTGTGTGCAGAAAGAGAAATAGTAGATGTCTTGTTGAGGTGCTTTTTCTGGGATTTGACGGGACTTTTCCAGTGTTGCTATACAATCTTTTTCCACACTTCCCCTTAAATCAATCCGGGGAGACCAAAAGTCCCACTCTTGGCTTAAGGATCATAATTACCTGGGAGTATATTTAAGGGACTAATTTAAACCTACCCCCAAAACATAAGGACTGTTATATTGATTTGCATGCAACTGAGTGAAGAATTGCATAATTAATTTCACAAATGGTACTAATTTAATGGCAGATGTATCTTCCATAGTGATTTAAAGTAGTTTAGTGATCTTTGGTAATTCAATCTCATGCAAGAGATCAGAGTAAGTAGTAACAACAGAAGTGACAGAGTAAAATGGGTAAAGAAGAAGCTGAAGAAATTCTGTGATAGAATGTTGTACTAGTGAATGGTATGACATTAAACCATAATCAACAAACAAATTTGTCAGAGGCAAACAATATGCAAATAGTAAGCAACAGATCTGGCGTAATTAAAAACATTTCACCTGTGTTCAGGGAGCTTTGCTATTCGTCTAGCATCCAATCCAGTAATAAACTTCTGTGCAGCTTGAACATTTTCTGTACCTGCCAACAAGAAGAAAGGATCATTTAGGCGCTTGCCATACCAAAACCAGAGGACTGTAATATTGAAGAGGATTAGCAAGCACTAGAAGCAGCTTTCTAAGCATTACAACAAAATCGGCAAATGCATAAGTAAAAAACACAAAGGTGCCAGAAGCAACTTAATAAGGACAACAAACACATACGGCCAAGAACAGGATTGAAGAGATTTATACTAGAATAAGAATGTTAAGATGCAACAGGACAGAAAATACAAAGGTAATACCTTTTGCCAATTGAAAGGCATGCAGGGCACATCTCTCTGCAGCAAGTCTCACAGGTGTATTTCCATCCTTCAAACAGTCAGCCAGAACAGGGCCAAATTTTGAAACATGGATGGCAATGGCACCAGGATTGGCCTGTATGACAGAAAATGCCAACGTTAATTCAAAAAAAAAATATCGAGCCTACTGGCGTGTACAACTGATCTTATGGTGTATGTAGGTTATTTTGTATATTTCAGAAGCACGAACTTTTGAAACTGCCTTCAATGCAGATAATGCCTGTCTTCTGACTTCACTTGAATCATCCTGCATAGCCAACACTATGGATCCCAGCGTTTCCACATGTGAAGTAGCATTTGTAGGATCACTCTGAATTTGTTGACATAAAAGCAATCCCAAAGCTCTTGTTGATGTTTCACGAACAGGAAACTAACAAATAAAGTAGCAATCACAAATAAAAATCATCAGATTTACTTCTACTCTTTCTGAATAATTACACTGGCAACACAGTTCCAGTTTCATTGCTTGCATCTGCAATTTACTCTCCAGAATAAAACCTTTTAAAATGTTAAGATAATATAATAAGAAAATGAAAATCTGAATCCTCTCATGGATGTTTGATGTACAGAAAATTGATAAAATAGAGACGTATCTCAATCAGAAAGAGATGCTTCAGATATTGGATGTTTGACGTACAGAAAATTGAAAAAATAGAGAAGTACCTCAATCAGAAAGAAATGCTTCAGCTATAAAAAGGAAGACCTTTAAGAGTTTCTGTTGGACTATAACACTGATTTATTGATTTATTTAATGGAAAGAAAAAAAGCACCAAACCATTGATTTTCAGTTCAAACACATTCCCTTCAGTAAAGGCAATACAAAGTGGAATTATTTTTGCTACCAGGGATTGGATCAAGCAACATTATTAAGTTTCTATGGCAATTGGAATAAAGCAATTTTTTCACAAAACAAATTCAAGTTGTAAAGCAAAATGATAAATGTCAGGCGTACCTTTTCATCATTTAAGGTGATTTTGAGGCACTTTACGATCAATGGGAATGACGAAGAAGCACAAATTATATCAGGATTGTGCTTAAGCATTGAACAAATAGTAAGTACTGCTCCATGCCTTGAGCACCAGTTAGATGATGAAGCTGATTTTGACAGCCCATCAAGTAATTCAACAACTTGTCCATCTTCCAGGTACTGTAGAATCATAAAAAGCAGGATAAATCACAAGAATCTCAATAACACAGTTTTAGGTCCATGAGACTGCCTGAGAATCAAATCAATCTAATAAAGAATTTGGTTAATTTTTTGAGATAAGGGTAACTAATAAAGAATTTGGTTAATGATTTCATTGTCTATCAGTTTGTCGTATATAATTAGCTGTACATCCAGATTCTGTTTCAAGAAAGACTATAAAACATTAAGTGAGCAAGGTTTCCCTCAGCAGCAATCTAGAATCATGTTTTCCCTCATTTATTTGTTTTTTTGATAAGGTATTTTACCCTCACTTATTCTTTTCCTATTCTGATAAGAGACATAAATTATACTACTATTGGTCTGTGCAAAAGAAGACAAACAGATCTACTAGAACTTAGCTTATTTAAGCTGATGTTATGAAAGAAGCCCATTAATTCAGCACAATTCCAATATACAAACACAACTTTATCTGAAACATTTTCTGCTAGTCTACCTATACAGATACATCAGTCTCAGCTTAATAAAGCATCATTTGAAACAAATCCCCCTAGACTTTAATAGTTAAATCTACAAAGTAAAATGCCCCTAAACTTTCATCACATAGCTCAGATAATCTCAGGCTCAATTCTCTTGAAAAGTGAAGAATGAAAATGGTTTTGATTGCTCTTCCTACAACTTTTTGAGAAGGCAACATATGATTTTGTTACTAAAAGCAACAAGACAGTCCTGGTATTAAAAAGCAACCCTACTCAGATAAAAGGAGCTGATAAAATCCACCATCTCAACAATATTCTTTTATATCATAAAGTTTACACCTATCACATGCACATACATGGTCAATGAGTCTTCAAACAGCCAATCGGAAATGGCTTGGTACTGAAAGCTTAGTTGTTACTTTAGAAAGTACAGACCAACTGTAAAAAAGAACTATTAATGCAACATATCAGTAAAATATTTGTTTAGTATATTAATAGGTCACTAGTGATAAGCCTCTAATAGATCAAAGGCCTTGAATCTCCACAACGATCCGCGAGTAAAAGGATAAGGGGAAAAAGCATTGTATGTCAAGATCCCATGCATATACAACATTCAAAAAAGACTACCATGTAAAAAAAACCTCCATATGCAGATTACCCAACAATTGGAAATAGTAGTTATGAATATTACTACTTAATAAAAGCTAACAGGATTGCAAGATAACTTGCCTATCTATTTTTCAAGCTTTAAAAGAAAAGGAAATTTGAGAAAGAGAATTAGATCACCAATGGTGAAATCCTGGAATGAAAGCATTGTGAAGATGAGAAAGAGGATAAAGCAATATGTATTTTAGAGGGAAAGCAATATCTCCAACCAAAGTGTCTCCGTGAAAAGAAGACATTCTTACTAAAAACCAACAGATATGAAAGAAGGGGTACACCTGTGAGATGCAAACCAAGTACTCCCTCCACCCCTATATGTATGGCACCATTTGACTTGGCACAAAGTTTTAAGAAAAAAAAAGAAAGACTTCTGAAATTTGTAGTCTAAATTACTCGACCATTTGTGTGGATATAAAGCGTTCCATTAAGGGTAAAAGGCAAGCTTCTAAGTTAAATTGTTTCTATTTCCAGAAAGGTGACATTCTTTTTGGGACGAACTAAAAAGGAAAGTGTGTCATATAAATTGGGACAGAAGGAGTACTTGAAAATGTGATATGCGCACCAGTTTAGCATCTCAACCATTCTCAATAGACATAGCTTTTATGATAAGTTAGACATAGTAGAACACAGCAAAAGAGCACTAACAAAAGAGCTCAACACCAGAAACACACAATCAACTAGTAAAATTTGGCCCTTTTTGACTTCATAAGAATTTTCCGACAAGAAATCCTTTTGATCCCAAATCACCCATACCCAAACCTCTAAAATTAGGAAAACATGAAATAAGATCCGCCTATTTACACATGAGCTGCAGTCTTATTAGTGATCACTCAAAGTACATTATGAACAAAGACATGAAGTAGACTGAATCAATCAATGACTGTCTTTACTAGTTTGGGAATGCCAACACAAACCCCTCTCTATTCTGCACAACTCAATCCTATTTCATTCCAATACTAAATAATTTGTCTTTAGGGTAAACTAGAGGTCTCTAGAGCACACATGTGTCTACTTGCGACTCAAAATTACATCTAGCATATTATGTACTAATGACACGATTTCTGTTAGTTTTTGAGCATTTAGCATGCATCTCATATTATTCAATCAAATTTGTGTAGGTAGAAACACTTCTGGTGAAGGGTATATTGTCATATCTGACGTCAAATGGAGAAAAGTAATGAGGATTGAAGCAAGAAATATTGGAAAATAGAGTTGGGACCAACAATTCCTATTGCATACAAACCAGACCTAATAAGCCACAAAAACTATTCAGTTGTGACCTACACTATTTGGTGTACCCTATATGGATCCTCTGCCTCCATTATGTTCTATTCTTAGAAGACATCAGCATTTATTATGAATGATCGGACTGATTTTGAGGCAACTTTCCTCCACTTGAGTAAGGTCTAACTAATCACCTTTTACACCTTCAATCATCAAAGTGTTGTGCCTATGGAACAAGCATTTTGGAGGTCCGGGTGGGACACATTGGCAAACCACCTCAAGCAACTTTCTGTTAGTAAGCTTTTCTCATTCAAATTGTTTACCCTAATGTTGTGCTACATGCATCTTTGTTGGATATGATCATTTCTTGTCCAATCTTGTATGACCAATGAAAAAGAATTCTGAAATAAAGTAAGTACTAGAGAAACACTTGTGAAAGGGTGATGCACACGAATGAGAAAAGACCCTTCCCAGTTATGGTTCCTCTTTCATTTCATCCGAATTACAGGGTAGAAATGCAATAGTTTAAGGATTATTATCCTCTAAAGGAACACAGGAATGAGGAAACTGCAAGAGGCCAATTCTAAATGAAGCATCCGGTGATAGAGCAAATAAAAAAAAGTGACAATTTTCATGATCTACAACCGGCTCTATTTTGAGCAAAAATCCCCATCGAATAAATTACCAAATAACTTTTACCAAGCACCTCAGTAATAAGTAAAAACCTGCTAAATACAGGAAACAAAATCGGATATAAAGGAAAATAAATATTTCCTGGGTAGAATGATCCTAACCTGTGAAACAATTCCCAGTATACTTGCAGCAGAATTTCTTATCTGGTCATCATCATTGTGTATTAAATCCTTCAGTAGGGTGTAGACACGTGTTCTAGAGGCAATGCTGACACTTCCACCAGCATGCTTAATCACACCTTTCAAAGCAGTTAGAGTAGCCTCACGAATTCCAGTATCTGATGTCTGTTGACCAAAAACTTAATGGAATAAACACTGCTTCTTAGAAAGAGATAAAGTGTGACAGTAGAGAAGAAGAATAAAGTAAAACTATGACCTGCACACCAGTTAACAGATCACCAACTAAAGGATCAACCCTGGTACTGAGAGCACTAAGCTTCCCAAGCGCAAGAGCAGCACTTGATCGTATTGTCCTATAATAGTATTTACATAAACCCAAGGAATAAAAATAACAAAACACTGAAGCTATCGCTTCAAGAAGCAACAGATGGCATGGGAAGGATGAGAAAACAGGGCAGAGCGGCATTATGCTTACAACACATCATTTCCCCATCTACCAGCCAAACAAGGTAAACCCTAGAGAACCAACCTTGTGTTATCCTGTAGGCACTTGACAAATGTTGTTTGAAGTTGGGGAAGAAAGGGCTTTAGGGCTATTCCTCCCCTTCGAATTATGATGCTCAGAGTAGACAGAATTGCACTCTTTACTTGCCAAGGAAATCTGTCACCTATAATACGAATCAAGGGCCTGCAATTGAAAGCATATTGTAAAGAAGTTAAGCATATGCTGAGTAGCTTTAGAGAAAATGAGACTATAAAATCTAGAAAAGACAAAATATAATCATCCTAATATCTGCCTATATGAACTTCTTTATGCTGGTGCAAAATTTGTGTTAGTACACCGTGGTGCATACCCTGTGATAGGAATCACAAACTCCTTGAGTGTTTTCTCGCCTGTCACTTCAATTAACTCCCCAAGACCTAAAGCTGCTTGCTCCCTTAGTTCTGCGGATCCACTTATGAGACCCTGTAGGTTAAAAAGAAAATCACACTGAATAGAGAAAGTCCAGGGAGCAATGCAATAAACAAAAGTACCACAAAAGACCATTAGGAGGTTACTACAATTTTTTACCACTATAATTACCAGTATTTTATTTTATTTTTGAAACTGGTAAAGATTGTATTCCTCAACATTAAGGATATGTTGGCAACCTTCAACAAGGAAGCAAGAAAGCAAAATAAAGAGATTATTTACAGTGAGCCTAACAAATCTACACCAGTATTAAGCAACAGAGCAGAATTAAGCAGCGGCCTTGAATCAATTACGATGTAAGTTTGGTGCCTAGACTTCAGTTTTGATGCCTCACGCCAGTCTGCTGGGATAATTTTTCAATTTCACCATTAAGACAAAACGTAAAATAAATAACAAGAAACCGTTGGGGAAGATTGGTTTTGGAGAAGGAACTAAGAGAAAAGAGTATTGAAGGAACAAAGGTCAGGTTACTCTCCAATTTAGTCATTCTCTCTTCTTATCTTGGTATCATCATGTTCAACACCAGTGGTTTGGACGGGGAAAGGCGACAAGGATGATTCAATAAGTGCCAGTGACCCTTTTGGTGGTCCAAAGATCTTCCATTTCATATTTCAGCTGGACTACCCCTTCACATAATGCCTGTTCACTATATGCAAATTTCCAGAGCCACTTCATCAATGGGCATTGGTTCTAGGTTTTAAAATTCCTTACCCCAGACCCCCTACTTGTTTACTCCCAATCAGTGCATCCGACTTCACCAAGTGGAATTTCTTGGTTTCACTATTCCTGCCCAGAGGAAATTTCTTCTTAGAGCATCAAGTCTCTCAATGACCCCATCAAGGATGGGGAAAAGGGACATCATATAAGTAGGTATGGAATCCAAGACACTATTGATAAGTGTTAATCTTTTCCCCAAAGAGAGAGGTATAGACTCTTCCAGTTCACCAATCTTTTCTCACATTTCTCTACCACCCCATTTCAAATATCTATAGACCTGCTCTTGGCTCACAGAGGCATACCTAGATAGATAGTTGGTAGCTCCCCAATTCTTCCACTAAGAGTCCTAGCCAATGAAGTTAAATTAGGGACCTCGTAACTGGATACAAGAAGCTCTTGTTCCAGTTGCTGTGTAGCCCTGATATTGCTTCAAAAAGGAAAAAAATCACCCTGAGAATCACGAGTTGTTCTCTGTTAGCCTCACAAAAGATTAGCGTGTCATCAGCATACTACAGATGGGTAATCTCCAAAGATCCTACCCTGTTTCATACTCTGAATCCCTTCGACCAGCTATTTTCTAGAGTAGTTTTCATTTTTCAACATATCATTTAGACCCTCCATAGCAATGATGAAAAGGAAACGAGATGAGGGGTCTCCTTGTCTTAAACCTCTCTGTGAAGAAAAAAATCTTGTAGGGGAACCATTGACCTAAGTTGCGCGGACTCTTCACTTTCAATGCCGCACCCGTGTCGGATTCTCCAAAAATACACTACTTTTGGCGAATCCGACATGCACCCCTTGACATTATTGAAGAGTCCGAGCAACATAGCCATTGACAAGGACTGAGAACTTCACTGTGCTTATACAGCACTTCATCCATCTTAACCATCTGGCACCAAAACCTCTTTTAAAGAGGGTCTCCAACAAAAACATCCAATTAAGATGGTCATAAGCTTTTTGTATATCTAACTTGCAGAGGATGCCAGGTGCATTGCTTCTGACTCTAGAGTCCACTAATTCATTTGCCATAAGGATGGCATCCATTATCTGCTTTCCTTTGATAAAGGCCAACTGTTGAGTGTCCACCAGTTTGTGTATAAACTTTATGAGCCTCTCAGTTAGAACTTTGAAGATGATCTTAGGCTGATGGGTAGCTCACATCTTTTTAGGAGTCAAAGCCACATAGAAAGAGTTGAAACTTTTCTCAAAAACACACCTTTCATGGAAGTTTTTAACTGCAGTAATCACCTTCCCCCTATTACCTCCCCCACAATTCTCTTGCTTTCTTAGTATATCTGAATCTGACGTATTATTTATTCAATTTTGTTCGTTAAAACTTCTAATTGATGGCTACCTATTGTTTGATTGGGTAATCAAAGAAACTTGAAAAACAACTTTGGATTTAAACCTCAGACTCAACCATGTAATCATTATCTATTAAGGTACGAATATACTTGCAAACCATAAACATTCATAGTAGAGTTTGTTCATAAAGCATCTTACCTTCTTTTTTTTTCATAAAGCATCTTACTTACTTTAACATCCAACAGAATATAGGCTATTGGATAGTTAAGATGTATTCATTTGGAATAAGAAATTTATTTTGCAAAAATTTTAAACTCCAAAATAACAACCAATGCTATTAAAAGTAAGTAGGAGTACATTAAAGATCCAAATATTCAATACCCTGTAATCATATTTATCTAATAAGGTACGAATATACTTGCAAATCATAAACATTTCATAGTAGAGTTAGTTCTTGAAGCATCTTACTTACTTACTTTAACGTCCACCAAAATATACGCTATTAGATAGATAAGATGGATTCATTTGGAATAAGAAATTTAGTTTGCAAAAATTGTAAACTCCAAATTAACAACCAATGCTATTAAAAGTAGGGAGTACATTAAAGATTCAAATAACAGGTGATTTGACATGGGAAATGATGACAAGTGAGCAGGGGATAACATTTTCAAAGAAAAAAATCAGATGATTGAACACAGTTTTTATCGTGATTCAATCCTTAGGTTTGCTCTACTATTTATCTTCTTCTTTTGTTTTGAAACTGGTAACCTTAAATAGTTTTTATTGTGATTTAATCCTTAGGTTTGCTCTACTATTTATTTTCTTCTTCTTTTGTTTTGAAACTGGTAACCTTAACTCTATATATCCACAGGTATACTACAACCAAAAGTGCAGTTCCCCTTCAAAAGTATTTCAATCTATCAAAAGCTCAAAACTATATATGTTGCCTACAAACAATCTAGAAAATCAAAGATGTCTTCTGTTTGAGCTAATAAACTATTTATTTTCTTTTAGCTTTATTCAATCTTTACCATTTCATTGATTGTTCGGATAAGATTAGATTGCCACAATTTCAGTAATTTAAGAAATTTGCCTATAATTCTTCCTGGCAACAATCACATTTCAATATTTTATTCTAGTTGAGACATGTATATTTGCATTGTAAATCCGACAGCAATGACAAGGTCAGAAATTTGGATGAGTGTCATGCTGCATTGCAAAAGGTAACATGGAAACGAGATCATCTCCTAGGCTTTTAAATCCAATTAAACATTTAGGGAGCAAAGCCACAGAAGAGGAAGAAAAATACCACACATGTATAATACAAAAAAAATACTGCTTAGACACAAATAACTATATGCAAAGAAGACTAAGAACCACATTTGAGTGAAATATATGATGTAAAAAAAATATTATCACCCAAGTGCAACTTTAATTTCTAAATAATGTGAAAAATCAATTTTAAAACTTCTAGTTCAGATGTAGACATCGTGACCAGTTTTCGTATTTTAAAACAAACTTCCTGTTAGTAATTGATAAGTATTCATGGGTAACATTTCCTTAATACTATATATACTGCTTTTTCTACTATATTAATTATTTAATGTCAGAATCTTGAAGACGGCACTCAGCTCACACCTAAGTGCCCTGTGACATCACTCTTGTGCAGCAATTCCCCTGCCTATACTGCATCTTGTTTCATTGTTTGAACACCATAACTTTAATAACATTGGCCTCATGCATGATATAGTGGAATATGCAACATACTCTAGCAATGAAAATTAAGCATCATGTTGAAAACTGATAAAGCGGCCTCGAATACATTTTTGTTCCATCTCCATGTTGTCTTTCTTATCTCTCTCCAAAAAAATTAAAAAGAAAAATTTCCATGCTAAGGGAGAGGAAAAGGCTGATTCCATGAAATACTAAAAATGGGTTATGTGTCCAAAAGAAAAGTTCATTAAGAATCATGTAACAAGAACTGAAATATTTATAATCAGATCAGACAAATCACTGGTCCAACGTACAAGGCATCATAGTTCAGCTGTATGGCACACGACAAAGTTGAAATTTATAGACACGACCACATCTCAAAAGTAACCAAACATATGTAACTTTTCCAGCAAAGTGGTCCTATCACACATGCACGGGACAATGATTCTTTTTTATAGAACAAAAAATATAATCAACTCTGAAATGCAGTATGATACACCGCTTTGTCCCTCCCACCACCAAATACACATACACAAAACATATAAATGTGTTGAACTTGAAGACTGATATTCCGATGTACTTCGAGAAGGCTTTTTCATCTCTAACAACATTCAACTTAACCCAAGACCCCGAAATCACCCATCAAAAGAAAATCATGACATCTATCGTGAGTTTACAAAGAAAGAAGCTGGAATAGCTTATTAAGAATAATAATGATAACAATAATAATAGTAATTTTAATAACAATTATTATAATAATAATCTGGAATACCTGGAGAAAAACAGGAAGCAATGGCTGAAGAGCTTTCGGAAGACAAAATCCAGGTATAAGAACTGGTCCTCCCTACATGTTCATTAAGAACATCAAAATCTCAAACATATAGACTCACCAAACAACTGATAACAATGTGATATGCATGCTTTTAAACATAAATCACAGAAGTCTGAAATACAGAAAATTGATACCTTTTTCTTTCTACGCTCCTTATCTCTTGAAGTAGATACAGCATCACGAACCAACTTGATATATGTTGGAAGAACCTCTTTAGGTACTGAACTAACAACATTAGACAAAGCTTGCCATGCAACCTGTCAAATAAGTGGTAAGATAACCAAACCAAACAAATTAACATTCTAAGGAAATGAAATGACCCTGACATTACCACCACAGTATCAGAATCTGGATCACTAAGCAATATAATGAGGCTGGATATCATGTTTGGAGCTTCATCACCAAGATATAAGTCGCTATTTTTGAACAGGTACCCGATAAGATATGCTGAGCTTTGTCTAATCGATGCCTGGAATTACAAGTATAAAGCAGCATGAGAGAAAAGAATAGCAATAAATGAGTTACAAAAGCAAGAGTATAAAGGAAGAGCATGCCTGATTATCGCCAACTCCTTTCAGTAGTTCTGACAACAAAGACTCCATGCCTTCTTCGTCAATAACTGACACAACAGTTTCTGCTGCCTTCTTTGCTAAACTTTGAATTTCCTGTATATTAAACCATTGAAAATGACAAAACGAATGTGAAAACTACAGAAATGAATGCACATGTCAGTGAGGAGGCATACCATGTCGGTATAACCCATTGCATTCAGTAAAGCAGGAAGGATAGTACTAAGGTGGGAACCAAGACCAGGTCCTGCAACTTCCGCTAAAGCTCCCAAAGCATGAGCATTGAAGGCACTGTAGGTATGTGCAGATATTATGGTGAGTACTGCAGAACCACAGAACCACAGAACAGAAAATCTATTGGAAGAAGAAATCATATATACGTACGAAAGTGGAAGATGAACGAGCTTTGGGAGGATGTGTGGCAGCACAGCTGCGGTCCTGACACTGAAATAAGTGACAATAAATTTAGGACAAAAAGATAAGATCATACAGAGAAACATGTCTAAACTAGACATACGATAGCCTACCTCAGAATTTGTTTTAAGCCATCCAGAGCAGTATCTGAGGTATCCTCATCCTCCAGTGCATGAAGAAGTGTTGGAACAATCTCATCGATTGCTTGCATTCCAGCATTCTATGTTACAAACCACCAGATGCGAAGATTAGTGTTGAGAAGTTCTCAGTAAAATATCTCAATGATTGGCTAGATCTGAAGGGTTTACCTTGTAAAGAGTACTAAATGCCAGGCCTGCTGATTCCCGAACCTCGCCCGTACTGTTGAATAAAGAACCAAAGAATTACTTTGGAATGGAAATGCAAAAAACTGCGATTTTCATAGTAATATAAACAAAAGATACCACACCTATCACAAAGTGCTGTCCGAATTGTGGGGATAAGCTCGTCCATATAACTCAATAATTGACTCCTGCCAGCACTGGCCATTACTTCACTTAGACCGATGCAGACACCCTGAAATTAGAAGTATTAAAAGTCGGCAGAAAAGAAAAATGAGAAGTGGAAACAAACTACGTCTTATTGGTACATTGTGATTGCAAGTGCGAAGGTAAGCCTATGTCTAATGAAGGCAAAAGGATGAGATTTTTTTGTAGTTGCAGGCCATTTCTGGCCCTTTTGTTTGGAACAGTATAAATAAGACTAATTATCCACCTTATCAAGACAGAATGATACACGCTCCAGTCACCATGAAGTCATGACTATATTGTATCACTACAATGTTAGTGAAGAAGTCGAGCAACAAATTTGGGAATTTAAGCGTATAAACTGCCTATACAAAAAATGTGATTTGTTTAAGATGCAGAATTACAGAATAGACAAAAGGGCTCACAGAGAGCTTAAGCAAAAGTTGTTAGCTCTTTTCCTATTAACAAGACTTCCAGAACATTTCTAACAAAGAAGCTCAATCATATAATTTGCTCTGAAAATCATCACTCCCCAAATACGCTTCAGCTGTACAAAGTTATCTCACTAAGATATACCTTAACTCTGTTCGCAATGAAACTGTAACTCCCAATTTGGATAGATGAGCGGAGATTATCATTAAGTACTCTAAGACTGACAACACGCAGAGAAATTACAGAAAACACCTAGAAGCATACGGAAGAAGTAAAGTACTCACTTGTCTTCTACTTGGATTAGGATCTTTTAGACCCCGTGACAATATTGGGATAATCAAAGGAAGGACTCTTTCTCCAAGCTTCCTAACAAGCTCACCCAATGCTCGTCCAGCAACCTGCAAATTTCAGGCCACAGAATTCTTATCTCCAGAACTACTGAACACATTTTTGTTTACCATAAACAAGGGTAACAGCATACCTGTCTCCTTTCAGAGGATGAAGATGCTAGAGAACTTATCAATGTGCTCATCAGTACAGGCATTATCTCCTTCAACGTTTTCGGGGTATTTGCAACAATGGTCTTCCAAACATGCAAAGCAGCCTGAAAAAAAGAAAATACAAAGTAATTGAAGTTTATTCATTACTATCAGCATCTCCAAATAAGTCAAGCATCATGATTGAAGTATCCCATAGTACCTGGCGTACGGTTATGCTGACATCGGTTCGGACCATATACAATGCGGCAAGGATTTCATTACGCTTGTCCCTCCCGAGTACCTCAATAATAGCTCGTCCTTGAGCCTCAGTACTGGCACCCTCATCATCACTACCACCCTCAAGATGTGCTTTTCCAGATGTTCCAGCAACCTAGAAGAAAATAATACATTAATAAGCCTGCTTCATCCTACAGTATGATGCTGAAGTGCGACACATACCTTGAACAGAAGGTCACCCAGCAACTCTACAGAACTCTGCCTGATACGCCAGTTATCATTGAAAATACCTTCTTCCACAGCCGGAAGAAGCAGAGGCAAAGATCTGGAACAAAAGAAGATCATCGAGTAACAAAATGGTCAGCATATCAATTATAGTTCAAACTGTAATCATAACAGCATTCTTATTCACTTCAAGATAGCCTCTTCCATTGTGTATATCTACATCAATTAAATATCATAGCACTAAATTCACAGCCATTGACAGGACCCCAAAAGCAAACTAAGGAGACTAACTTAAAACTAGATGTGGAAGATGACAAAGAAGGCATACGTAGTTGCATAGTGCTCCACCAGAACATGGCCAGCGCTGAGTGCTGCTTCACGCACAGATTCATTCTCATCGGCCAAACCTATTGTACAATAAATTGTTAATTGAATCTCTCAATGTAAGTTAACATAAAAGACTGCCCCTCATAATACTTCAACGGTTTCTGCCAACTAGAAAGAACGACTGCTATTTTTGTTCATCTCTGTGTAAGTGTTTGCGCCTGTTTATTAGAGAGAGAGAGAGAGAGAGAAATTTACCATCTAAGATAGCTGGAAGAACTTGCTGCAAATAGTTCTGGAATTGCACACCTAAAGATCTTGGCAGATACTACAAGTAGCCATATAATCCATGTGAGAAAATATACAAAAGTATGAAGTTATCAATCTTTCTGAACACAAACTTTTAAAAAAAAAAGTTCTTACCCTAAAGAGTGCCAAGTGCCCATCACGTACTGATGCCTTTTGATGAGAACAATTTCGTACTATATCAGGAAGTATGTTCTCAAAGTACTCCATTCCTAATGCAGCCAATACCTGGGAAAGAGGAAAAAACACTTGTAGGTTGAATGTGAAAACGAGAACCCTAAGCAGCTCAAAAACCGAGTCTCCATTCTTTGTTACTGGTTTCAGACCCCCACCCACCAGCCCCAAAACTCCTTGATGATGCACAAAAGGTTTCCGTGCTTGTTAATTATTATTGTTTCTTGGCCCTCACTCCACAACAGCCAAATTTAAAAGAGGCGGAGCCAATAAGATAAAGATGCTCAAAAGCCATTTCAACTTATTATATGCAAACAATGTCAATAACTAATTTTAGAGTTAAATCACCCAGCAGAACCAGATGCAAGAGGACAAGCAAAGTTTGCATACAGCACAAAACCTTAATCTTGGCGCCAATATTGAAGAACTCCTTTAAAGTCCAAAAAAAGATCTATTATATTTACCTTTTGACAAAGGAGCAAAGGTAAGAGACAATGATAATGCTAACTTAGAATTAATATCCAAAATATATTCAAGTGAAAAAGCTTAAGCATCACCCCCACCCCACCCACACATCCCAGTGATAGATTCTTGTAGACATAAAGTCTTAAAAAAGGGAGATTTTCAACTCCTTATAACAAGGGAGAGAGAGAGAGATGTAACCAAGTAACACAGGGTGAGATAATTATACCTCACTAAGTCCCTGTGCTGCCCCAGAACGCGCAACATTGTTTCCATCAGACTTCAAAGTATCCAACAACCAAGGCACCAGGTCTGGGAAATTTTCTTCTCCCATACCCCGTATAAGAGAACCAATAGCTCTTGCAGCAACAGATCGAACTTCAGGAATTGGATCTACAAGTACCTGAAATCGTGTGAAAATTATGTTAGAGTCAACTTTTGCACTCATCATAAATGTTACTCCAATTATTTTAAGATGTACCTTCTTAACTTCAGGGAGCAGTAGTCCTATGTAGGGTACCATGTCCTTAGGCTCAGTCACTAATGAACACATATTTCCAGCAATTTGTGCAGCTTTCTTCTTAGTCTCAGCGCTCCTTTCACGAAGCCCTCGGTGTACAATTGGTACCAGCAGCGCGAGAGAAGGAGCATCAATTGAATTCACAAAGGTTGTCTGAAAGAATTGGAACAAGGAATTAGCTTGTCAGAAAGTACATGGAAACCGGATTACCTATCAAGTATAGGTACATGGAAACCAGATAACATGTTATCAGTAAACATATTTACCTGGAGGAGAATATCAAGGGAGTATTTTGTATACTCATTAGGATCTGAAAGACCCATTAGAAGAGTAGGGACAAGTGCAGATATCTCAGGGTTCTTTATAACACTCCCAACCTATACTCAACAAAAGACAAAACTAAATAAATGGCACGAAGTAGAACACGGAAAGTAAGAGAAATTTGATCATGAGATAGTTTAACCTGTTGAAGAGCTGTCTGTCCAGCTGATTGAACCTTGGGATGAGTGTCAGTAAGCACCTGTACAGTATTACAAAGCGGTAAGAAACGGAGACTAGTACCGCACTGTAGTCAAAGACAGAAGTACTAAGTTTGCAGGCAGTAGGACAAACCTCGGTTAACTTGGGCACAATCTTAGGGAGACATTGTGACAATTGTTGTGGAGCACAATAGGCCATGGCACCAAGAAGTTGTACACTACTCTGCTTGGTTCTCCAAGCCTTATCTTCAAGGCCCTGACGCAGAAAAATAATTGTAAACATAGGTCTCATGTAATGAAGGGCAACTAATAATGAGTTAAGTGAATCCGAAACACATGGGAAAATATTTAATAGCGGACTCATCAACAACAGCAGAGTATCAAGTTTTTCTGGCCATTTTAGATCCATATAGGTTTTTCAACAAAACTCAGGATCCAACTGTCTTTTCAGAGAAACACACAGATGCCAAAAGTTAATAAAAACCTACAATATGCTTCATGAAACGCTGCACTTATTCTTCAAAAAACAAATAGCAAGGGTGCATTAAGGTTACAGTTTCTCTATTCCTGTGCTACCAAATAGTCCTCAAAGGCTAACCAACGTGACCCACTGTGCAACAACTTCTCATCATCGGAAGAGCATTCTCAAAATTATTCCCATCTCTAAGAGTCCCAATAAACTACATGAAACTTTCGGGATAGATGTACACTGGAAAAGAATTTTCAGCATGACTTGTAAGAGTACTCTATAAGTGTGCATAAACTACACTGTGCAAGATTACTCCATCATCCAGTTAACCACATCACTAAACCAATAAAGTATGGATAGAGTCAACTGCATTGAGTAAGATACAGGGGAAAAGCTAAAACTAAGAACCTTTAAAAGTGATGGAAGAATTAATTTCACTCCTTGAGCACTAAGCTGAGACATCATTGCCCGAGCAGCACATTCAGCAGCATCACGCACCGCAACCACTTGATCAGAGAAAGAAACCAAGAGGAACGGTAACATTTGAATTACATACCTGAAGGAAAAACGGGGAGACAGGTGAAACAAAGCTGATTAATTTCAAAATCCAAGTTCAAATTACAACAAGGATAAGCATTTCATTTGTATGATTTCTGGATAAAAAAAAAATATAAACAGAAGACATACGGTTCAAACAACTTCCCAAGCTTCTCACAGAAGCATTCAAATGCAAGCAGTGCTCCTTCACGGCTCTTAGCCGAATTCCTGCAAATAAACATCATTCAGATCCTGGAAGGAGAAACTTTCATCTATAGAGAGGTGCAGTTATTGAAATATAATGAAATTGGCTACCCCGTGACAAAGCCATATCAATGAAACAATGTTGAATGTCAACTATTGCTAGCTGAAATGCCAAGCAAGAAATGACCTAAAATTTTATAATATAACAGAAACATACACTACACCTCAATCCCACATTAGTTGGGATTGGGTGTATGAGTCCTATTTATCCATTCCTCTCTATTCAGGTCCAATTCTTTTCAATACTAATGTACAATTCGATAACTGCATGAACAGCTCCCAGATCATATTAGAAACATATAACTATGGTCAGAACACAGCTAATAGATGTAGACATTTCATGAAATAGTCATCTAAAGTTCAGAGCTCGAACTTTAGTAGCAACTATAAAGAAAAGAGGTGACAAGCTGAAAGATAACAAAGTCACTTTTCCCCTTTTTCCTTGTTGCGGGCAGGTGAAGACAGGGAGATTTAATTGAAAAAACAAACCCAGAAACATTTATCCATTTACATCTTTAAGACATAAGCAAAAGCACATAATCGAGCTACAAAGGCATACAGAATATTTTAATAATTACCATTGATATAAAAGCCTATATTCAACCGACCATAACCTTGAAATTTCACTTCAACAATGTCTAGCACATAAAGATAAAGGTAAATAGAAGAATGAGTTCTTCTCACTAATTCCATTATATAATGCCTCAACTGGGTTGTTATTCATGACATTTCATCAAATCCTTGGAAAAGAACAGAAAACCACTGCATCAAATCACAGGGTAACTTTTTTGAGAATGTTTTCTATTTTTTTTTTAAAAAAAAATTGAAATCACAGAGTAACTCAACCTCTAATTTAGAGTGATTGAAACATGCCAGAAGACTAACCTGTCAGCAAAACCTTCATGTAGTGCTGCTACAATGCCATATTTCTTCAGGCAAGATATTCCAAATCCCTTAACCAGCCCTGCAAGTCCAAATGCTGCACCACGACGCTCTCCGTATTTTTCACTCTTCATTAGCTGATCCAAAAGCCTAGAAACCAGAGATGGTGCATCCTCCTGGTGCAAGAGAAGAGATAGGCAAAAAGAGAATCCAGTTTCAGCTTGCAAATTAGGTATAAACTAACAAAAAAATTGTAAGGACAGCAGAAAGAAATAGAGATGACTAAGGAAGAAAAATATCAGAGAACAAATCTGGAAGAAACAAAGTCAAAATTATAGAAACAGAACTAGGACACAAATTAGTAATTTATATTTCCTGGACTTTATCCAGTACAGATCAAGGAGAGAGAATGCTAGAGAAAGTTGAATTACAAAACAAACTTAAAAGCTTAAAAGAAGTATCACTTGGTGAAATGGGATGCTGTCATCAACAACAAAAAAGGAGGAAAGGGCATAAAGCACCTCAAAGTACAGAACCAGAGTCTTATCTTGAAGTGGCTATGGAGGTTTGTCTCTGGAGAACAGGATTTATGGAAAGATGTTATAGCTTCCAGATATACAATGGAAGACCTATGGATCACTAAGGAAGCTACAAGCCCTTATGGGGTAGGTTTATGGAAAACAATCAGGATCCAGTGGCCTAAAATATGGAAAAACTCAAGGATTGAATAGGAAATGGAAGAAGGATATCATTCTGGAATGATGTGTGGGTTGGTCAATACCCCTTGAAACAGTTGTACCCTGTGATCTACAATCTGAACCAACAGAAGGAGGCAGCAGTAGTAGCAGATGTCAGGGACAACCAAGGATGGAAATGACTGGGAAATAGACAACCTCACAGATTTCTTCAATTCTTTGGTGCAGGTCAATAGCCTTAACACAAATGAAGACAGTCTACAATGGTTGAGAGCCAAAAATGGGAAATTCACAACAAAATCAGCTTACAGGCACCTTGATAGGCCAGCTGCAATGCTCTTATCATGGCCTTGGAAGATGATATGGAAAGTTAAGATACCCCACAAGGTGGCTTGTTTCACCTAGTTGGTAGCCAGGCAAGCAGTACTAACGCAGGACAATCTAATGAAAAGGGGAAGCAAATTATGTTCCAGGTGCTTTTTTAGTGAAAGAGAATAGAGACAACGAACCATCTCTTCATTCACTGTAGAGTGACTGAAACTGTGGCATGTGTTTTTTAACTTGAGGGGTATCAGTTGGTCCATGCCAAGGCATACATCAGAAGCCCTAACAGGATGGAATAGAGAAGGAAACATGTCGGGCCATAAGGAGAGATGGAAGATTGTCCCTGCTTGCATCAGGTGGACAATATGGAAGGAAAGGAACCAGAGATGTTTTGAAAACAAGAGCATCCCTTTCCAGAGCTTGAAATTGAAGTGCCTTATAACCTTTTATTTTTTATGTAACTATGTACTCTCCAGAAAGGTGGAGGATATTACTCACTTTTAGATAGTTTAGGAGGAGTATAGGTGATAGATATATTTGGTTTTGCTAACTTTAAACCCCTGACGTAATTACTACTGAAACACTACTGATATATTTTGTTTATAAAATGTCAACTTTCTCAACAAAAAAGAACAAACTTAAAAGCTATGTGAGACAAGAATTCCTTCAGAAATATCCCAAGGGACTATCGGGATTAGCATGGTAAATGCATGAGAATGAGTCTGTAGTTAACCAAAAAATTCTCCAGTTACCACCTCAGAACACCAATAGCCTATAGAAAAGGGAACAAAAATTCCACATGGATTATGATACTGGAGTTTATTCATCATAGAACTGAAAGGCCTCACTTCTAGATTCATGCAAATTAGGATAATAACAGATGGTTCGGAATATAGTCATGTTGGTTCTTTTTACTTGCTTTACTAAAAGTAAGAACCCTTCTACAGGAGGGATGTAAAGCTGCACAACTCACTAGGATATAACATATATCATTCCATGCAGTTAACCTATTACACGTGGACTCGAGTATGGATATGGGTTGGGTATAGGCACATCTCCTTTTTTTATTGGTCAGACACATCCAAATTTTAGACAGCTCAAGGCATATTCCGTGAGATCTAGATGAGGTACCCAAACCCAAAACATATCCTTCGGACACATGTACGTTATGAAGAGTCAAAGTAGCCTGGCAGTAAACAAAAGCACACTTTTGACTGTTAACGAAGAGTGTAGTAACTGCAGATTGTTCAAGATTTACAATCATGACATGTGGCAATGTTTCTCGTTTGTTACAGCTGCATAATATAAAGAAGCTTTCAAGAAGATGCTGAACTAACCTGCTTTGCTTGCATAAGTGGAGAAAGGCAGGTAGCGACAGCTCGCTGAACAGCTTCAGACGGAGTATTCAGTACATCCAGCAACTTCTCTACAACTGTGTGAACCTTAGGGTCATCCTGTTCAAAAATAGACAAGGTATTAGACCAAAATCTTTAAAGTGTTTACAGTGGACCAAGTTTATAAGAGGGGGGATCAATTACCGTGGCCAAATGCTTTGCCAAAGCTCCAGTAAATATTACCACACCTTCACGGACCAGATCATATTTCTCCTCATCTGAAGCCTGCACAATCAACAAACAGTTGTTATTTGAACATATGATATATATTCAAAGCCTATAACTAGCTTTTAGCTGCCACAAAAGGGCAATAGGATCAACATGAAAAACTCGAACACCAATCATTCACCCCCAACCAAAAGTATAAAACCTCTTAAGATTAAAGGAAATAGACGATCTTGGAAACAAATATGTCATACCTTTTTGTTCAAGTAGTTTTCGAAAATAGGGAATAGCAATGAGACATTATCTCTTCCATGTTTGTCAATAATAACTATGCCAGCATTGATCATTCTTCCTCTAACATCTGCATTAGGATCTGCCTGCAATTCCAAAGTCACCCACTACTCAAACCCAAACAGAATAAAACCATTTCTCATGAATTTTCATATATTTCCAGAAAGTTCTGTTTTGACGGGTTACAAAACCAAGTGAAGCACCACAATTCATAAAACAGCTAGTACATATCAGAAGATGTGGACTTTAAAGCTTTTGATACAAGGAGGGAACTCCTTAAAAGCGAAGAAAAGAAGTATCTCAGCAACAATATTTCAATTGTAAGATAGTTAACATGTTCCGTATCACTATAACAAGACAAACTCTTAGAAAAACTTAATTGCGAAAATCAGCATGCACAGAAGTAAAGAAGAACTTCCGTTCACCTGTTAGTTATCATTAGCAATCTTTGAGAGAGAGAAAGAAAGAACAAAAGGAAAAAATGCAGATCTTAATGATACATTAAACATAGACATGATTAACAACACCTCATTCAGAGAAAGAACTTATTACCAGTGCCCTTGAAATTAGGAATGTCATAACAACAGGAAGGTCTTTTGCTCTAAGAACATCCGCCACAGAAAGTAGAGCCAATGCTATTCCTTGTCTGCCTATCCATCCAAAATCAATGGTGTCTTCACCAGAACCAACATCACGGATGTACAAAGAAAATAAAGTTGAAAGACATTCCTGAAAGCATTGTTTATCCAAAAGACATTCACACTGTCAGTTAAGAATTTTTTATACATTGTCCAGAAAACAGAACATATAAGCTAATTAAACCTGTATCGTATCTGGACTTTCATCTAAAGCAGCAGCCAAGGCCTCAGCGCCAGCCACTCGCACATTATAATTAGCATGGGAAAGAGCTTTGAAAATGCCAGAGTAATCTGTTCCTAAGTCATACCCGTAATGATCCCAGATGTCTTCAGCAGCTTCAGCAACACACTGAATAGTAAACACACACAGTTCATACTGTCATGTTAACATTTTGGACATAAAATAGAAATACTGAATCACAACAACCCTTAGTACACAAATTTGAAATGGATGTCTGAATTGCTGCTATATAGACAACCTAACTTAAAATAATCAAGACTTACAGTCGATTAAGTAAATCAGCAAATATCATAAGACCATACTGTTCAGATACTGAAGTTATTACGCTCCTACGATTTAACTAAAATCAAGCCATTAATTTTTGTCACTTTCAGCTAACAGGAAAGCGGAACTATATAATCTAGGAAGGATCATTTCCTTAGACAGGCGATTGCCCAATTTCTTTTTGAAGAGGTAAATTAATTTATAGATTAGAACAGCACCAAGGATGTGTTATTGGGACCGTACAATGTAGTAAGACCAAAAAAAAAAAGTGTGCCCTGACTAATTTTGTAGGGATTCTAATGTTTGTAGAACTGTTTCAGCTTCATTTACGTGTTCCATCCTACACCATAAGCAAAAGAAAATATACAAATAGACTGTATGTTCTTGGTGGAACTCATAGAATCATCAAAACGTCATTTATTTATTTCAGTCTAAACTGTAAATCAAATACATCCAATAATTTCCCACTTTCTTCGAAGTAGGTAGTAGGTAAAGGGAGGAACAACCATACCAGATCATCTACACAGACTAACCAACCAGAGGACAAAATAATAACACACTTACGCATTAGGTACCAAGATGCTTCCTGAGTAGAACAAATTCTATGAAGCACAGAACCCAAAATTTTTAGATGCATGTGGGTTTTGCACTTCTGTTACGCCAACACTAGTGAGAAAGCATTACATAGTGTACCCGTATCTCCTCATTTTAATTCATTTGCTAGCTTATGTTAATATGCCACTTATACCCCAACTAAAATGATATGGGAGCTGTTAAAAAAATTGAAAGGTGTCCAGGGATGTTTTATGTCACAAGAAGAAATGACAAATTCAAAATCTGAAACTCTCTAGGAAAATAGAAACGCTTTTCCAGCAAACACAGAAGAGAAAATAAGTAAATCCAGTTGCCTCCTGGTCCAGGCAAGCACGTTGAGCTCATGATGTTGTGGAATGTTAAGATAGACTAAAAGTTTTAACTCTTTTCTAACGCGAAATCTTGAATTTTTATACTATTGAAATTTAAAAGCATACCGTACCTGATACCAGTTATCATGCCCACCCTATATATTGGACAAGAGTACAGCAAAAATAAAAATAGACACCAAGTATGTTCACGGGATTCATACACTTGATGAAAGCATTATCCCTTACTGGTCATTGTGCAAATCTGAACAATATATCATTATTACTCCCTCTATTCCAATTTGTTTGTCTTACTTTCCTTCCTTTTTAATCCCTTTCAGAAATAATGTTTCTTTCCTTTTTTGACAACTCTTTAATCCCTAAGACCACGACATTAAAGGGCATTTTCGTACATTCAACATTTCTTTAGTTTAACACCACAAGATTCAAAAGTTCTCTTTACTTTCTTCAACTCCACCAAGTCAAAACCACACAAACAAATTGAAACGAAGGGAGTAATATTTAAAGGGACTGAAAACCCAGAATTAAGCATTTATCACTAGAAAAGTAACTTCTACAAGAATGTAATACCTTTTCGGGATCATGTAAAGCAAGCCAGATGCGAGTGGCAATTTCACTACTTTGAGGGACAGAATGACTAGCCAGAGCAGGAATGCATTTCACAGCATTTAAGCAAGCCATTCTAACATGGATGTCTTTAGCATAAATACCACATAAAGCCTGCAAAAGTCCATGAAACACAAGTGATTATAAGTGTTATGTGGAAGCTCACAGAAGAAATTCATAACCACATCACATACAGGTGCCACTTCAGCTGGTTGCAGCCCAAGGCATAACTCATTTAATGCCGGTCCAATAGATGCTTGATAAGCAGGAACAACACCCAGGACATGATAAAGAACCTAAAAAATCACCAAGATAATCAGTCAGAAATAGATACAGGTATGATAATCAAGGTATAAACAACAAGAAGCTGTAGTGATCGTAACTGAGAGCATTTGAACTCTAGGTAGAGGTAAAAACGAATCCAAATGCAAGAATATTATCTTGAGAACATCATCATGAAGTTTGGTCTTCTTGGGAGATAACAATATTCTTTCCATTATCTACGCATGCAACAAAAAGAAAAATATATGTATATCAGAAAATGTCAGTGTCTCAGTGACAAAGGAAAGAATAACTACCAGGAAAGTAAGGTTGACAGGATCAGACCACAAACTTACAGGGAAAACAAAAGTAAACGAATCCACAGGGAGAGCCCCAGTTTTGCAAGAAATGGATAAGCCGTTTGTTACACGCTCAAAGAGACCAGGCTTTTCATTTGATACCTCCTCACCAGCAGAAGGAATTTTACCCCATAAGACATTAACATCCTCTGACATAATTAACCTTAAGGCTGTTGCAATTTCAAGAGCCCAGTTACAAAGTGGAGTAGCAGTACACTTTGAAAGCTTCACCAGGGTTCCATACGCCACATCACCAACTATTGGTGACCGTAGTAGAGGATTGATAAACTTCACCTAAATATTAGATTAAATAGAAAAGTTAAAGACAGCAACATACAAGGATATGACCCTTAAAATTCAACCTATAACAAGAACAGTTACATAATGGCATAGATTTCTTTTCCCTTGTTATTATAGGCACGTCGAATTAAACCATTTTGATAATACAGAAAAATCTAAAGTTACCAATTTCAAAAAAAAAAAGGCAGAAAAATCCAGAAGATAGAAACTAGTTTGGGTGAAATCTCTAACTAAAGTTCACGAAAACACAAGGATATCAGTCTACAAAAGTGAATCAAGGGAGAAAAGGTTAAGTTGAAGTGTGATAAACTTTAACAAAGATGAAATAAATGGTTACTACCTGGCTCAACACCCACTAACTAAATTAGTTTTCATAACCTTTCGGCTTTTGCTTCCCCTTGTACTACAAATCAACATCTATTTTCCAGCTTAACTATACAGATTTTTTTTTGGATCCAGCAAATTAAAGCTTAATAGGCAGCGCCAAGGAGGTGCTCTAGAGCAAAAGATTGCACCTGACTTCCTTAAATACTAACCTACATAATCTGTAAGGATCTGGGCATTTGGGTATTTACATGACTACAAAAGGTAACTTCACAGTTCTGTATAACACTGATGAATTCTATGAGCTTCTATGTCCTCTATTTGTTCATTTTTACACAAAAAATGACAGCAAGAATAAGCATTCAATCTTGATTTTACTGATGGGTTCTTCCCTATTTTGAAACACCTGAGGTTCCTCTCATTCCAAATTATCCACCAGATGCATGCAGGGATTGTGTTTCACGTCCTTCTTTACTTCTTGGTGATTACTTTTCCATTCCAGAGAAACAGTAGCTCTTGGGAATATGGCATTGCCCATTTCAAGTAGAGCATATACAGAAACATATCCCAGAGTTTAGCTGTCACTTGCAATGCAAGTATATGTCCCAGTTACTTCCATCTCTCTTTCATATGGATAGCACAAACTATATATATTGTAGCCTCTCTTTTGCAAGTTGTCTTGAGTCAAACATGATTGATATATGAAGCTTAGCCACGTACATTTTTGCCGATTTTAAATGGAAGAATATTTTTTTTGATAACTATGGTGACTGGGAGAGAGCGCACCTCAACTAATCCCAAGGGTACATGCTACCTCCCACCTGCACGTGTTAAGTAACTGTGTCCACCAAGGGACAGGTGAGAAGAAATCAACTGGTATTTTTAACCTCATGGTTCTCAACCCACTTCACTGAAGAATAATATTTTAATTGTCCAATTGGACTGTATGCCCACTAATATTAAAGAAAGTCTAACAATATCAGATAAGAGTCCCATCATCAGCTGGAAATACCAGAATTGATGTTTTCATACTGTGGCCGTCAAAGTCGAACATGTCTGAAGTCTGAACTTCAAAGTATGTCACAATAGGCTAACAAAGACTCGCTGCTTTTCTGAGAAATCCATGCTCCTTCGAGCTCTGATAAAATTCAAACTTTAGATGATAATTCAAAGTTAACTCTACTTGTACTCAAAGCACAAATTCCTCAAAAGGCCCACTTTTGGTACTCTTTCCTGACTGACCAGCACAAGCGTTTTCTTCTTTTTAACAAGCCAACAGAAGGTTGCATTAAACTGTTACCATAGAGTAAACCATTTCTGCACAATAATAGGAACAAGGGAAAGATGTTCTAAGATGCTGATTCCTCATTATATATTTTACCATAATAGTAAATATTGGCAGAATCTAATAATCCAAATATTTCCTCTGGATAGTTACAGACTCACAGTGATCAAACTGGAGGGAACAGCTGAAATTTTCACTTCAGTGATATTCCTTACATATTTCCTAAGCAACATAGGCCTTTATTTTATGAATGGGGGTTTGGTTGAGTAGAATATATTAGATGATACCTGCTTAATGTACAGACAAGATATTATATTGGATAGTGGAGAACATAGAGCACACTAACCAAGGAAGGTAGCTGACTGTGAGTGAAGACAGGATTAGCTATGGCCATTTCTCCCAAGGCTTTCAATATTGACGAAAGGTTCTTTTTTACAACCGTGACCTTTCCACGTATATATGCTTCCTCCCTTAGCTGCACCTCACGTGCCTCTTCCTTTGCACTTTTTCCCTTATCTTTATCTAAAGAAATAAAATATAAAGACAGAGGATTAACAAAACTATCTACAATGATTAAATTAAGTTCAATAAAAACAAGGAACTATCAAAAAGGTACCAGCTTTCTTTGATGATTTTCCACCATCTTTTTTCCCAACTCCAGTAACCTCTTTGCTAGAGGGCTCACGCCTTGCAGTGTGATTAGAACTTACTTGGTCCTGTATGCAAAAGCAAACTCCGCCATAAGAGAACTAAATAAGGAAGATATTCAATTCTGGACTTGGGAAAGGTAGATTGTGCACTCACAGGGCCATCACTGTCATCATAAAGCCTAAAACGGCCTTTTGGTTGTTTTGTGTTCTTAGTTGCAACAGATTCAGCAATGTAAACACCTTGTTCAGTCGAAAGCATTCCTTCAGGAGTTTGAAATATCTAAACGCAAGAGAGACAATGAAGCAAATCAGAAGATAGTCGGTAAATACATATTAGGACGGTAAAAAGAAAGAAGGTGAAACAAAGTCAAAATAGGATATAAAGACAATGACATTAAATACACTTATTAGGAAGCCAGGAAACAATAGCTCTATACAACATCTGAGGGAGTAACACGTCAAAAATTTAAAAATTTGGAAATTCTGAGACTTGGAATCCCTTTCCTCCTAAGCCCCTCAAATACTCAAGAAACAAAAAAAAGAAAAAAGGCAGAGAAGGGGTTCTTTGATAGGATCACAGATATAAAGTTTTCAAAAGGCCAAGGAGTTCAGGCCAGTTGGAGGTCATTCGTTCACCAGCATATTTTCCATGGGTTCCTATCCCTCTGGCTTTTACTCCCATAGTTAGAAGAAAGTTTAGTGTCTATTGCACATGGCCTGATTCAAAACGATTAAGGACATGGTTTAATGATAGATTTGATGATGGGGATTTTACTGTTTTCCAAATATATCCTTAGCCTTTTATGAAACATAATTAGCATATTTGTTTTCAATTGTATCTATATAAAAGTCTAAATCTGGTTAATAAAAAGATGTTTCTTTGCAACTAACTGAATTTGTTAGGCAGAATAAGAAAATTAGGCATGTAACTAGGTCTAAACTAAGAATAAAATATTACAACCTAAGGCAGTTGAGGAAACAAAAGAGTTTGTCATCACAAGGATTAGTGGAAGCTGGTCCAGAGTGGAACAGGGTATCAACAGTAATTGGGGGGAAAACTTACAAGATCAAAAGTTCAAAGAATCCTCATAACGTCTCTACCCCCTACCCCAAAGCTCTCGTACAATTGACATGTCCCAAGGGCTAAGACTATAGCATGCCTAAATGCCAGATATAAGATATGAAAATAACATACCCAGATGTAGATCCAGTAATTTGCATTAATATACATACACAAGGGACTGTTTGGACTTAGAACGTTTTTGCTTTTTTCAACTTTTATTTTTCAGAAACTGTTGATTATACATTGTATGCAATTTTTCACTCCAACTTGAAGTTGAGTTTTCCGAGTTTGAAAAACTGGTCTAACCACTTTATCAAGTTCTAAAAAAATCCCTCAGACTTTCAACATTTTTCAAGTGAAATGCATGTCCAAACACAACTTCAATTTCCAAATACCCTTTTTCAACTTCAACTTCAAATACTACTTTTTTCAAAATCATGTTGAAACAACTATTTATTAAATGTTGTATCCAAGCACAAAACATCACAATGATATTGTACACAAGATTACATGATCCATAAATTTCTAAAATTATGTGTTGCAACCATCATTGAATCTAGTGACAGGAAAGGTAATGATATTACCTGAATGTCATTTTCAGATAACATATCATGTGCCAAACGGTCTGGAAGATCGTTGAAGTACTGCCAAGGAGAATTAAAGAATTTATAACCACGTTAAGCAATAACAAGTGACAAACAATAACTCCAAAAGAACCATGCCAGTAACCTTCTCGAACTCCATGTAGGTTTCTCCAGGTAACATGGACATCAAAGTTGATAAGGAGTTAATTGCTGCTTCTTGCGCAAAATGATTATCACTCATCAGACCCGTCGGTCCCAACAAACCCTGCAGGTTAACATATGGGACAAGTTACTAAACATATGAAAATGAAGGATGGTATCCAATTGACCATACACTCTGCTTGGCTCAAGGAAGGGGAGGAGGAACATGAAAGACAGGAGAACTGATTCATTTAGGCTATTATTGATGATTTATTTTTGGTTGTTTGACGCATTTGAAAGGAAGTAAAAGTGTTATACTTCCACCTTTCCATCTAGTTATGGAAGAATTAAAAGGCAATATGATGGGCTTGGATATCCCAACACTTTAAACTTCTCTCGCTCTTACTTCCTTACCAAGTAAGGAAAGAACCCATAGCCAACCAATTTTACTTCCACTCGTCCAACTCCAGTTGAAGTTATTAGGCAATTAGAATAGGGAAGAGGTAATCATAATTTTGACATGATGCAAAACAATATAGTTTTCCAAAACTTCCCATATCAGCATTCCTCAATCATATGTAGATCTTTCAAAAGTCAGTAATGGTCTTTCACAAAAAATGGAAAGTAACATAAAAGTTGCAGTTCACCTTGCACAAACCAACCACATTAGTTGTGACAAGACCAATGGCATCAATACCATGTTTATGCAAACATTTTTGCACCCTCTGACAAACAACAAAAACAAAAGAGGTTTAGACAAATTAAGTGAAATATACATAAGATAATTTCTCAACTAGAAGGAAAGACAGAAAATAAAGGCAACAAAAAAGGGAAATAATTATTAAAAAGAATAAGTAAATTCATCCAAGTGTAAGTAAATCCTGACAAGACCAAACACAGTGTGCATGCAAAAACGATACTCATACAATTGTCTTGTCAAAACCGACTTATTCTATGCATAAGAAGCTCCAACTATGAGGGCCAAACAAACATGTTAGTAATAAGAAAAGATAAAAGTGAACTACTAAGTGCTGCTTCGAAAAGACAAGACACTTTCAAGTACACAATTATCACTATTCCCTTCAACTTTCCTGATAAGTTTCATTTTAAACTGTTTAGATGATTAGGGACATATCTTCATAAACTTCGGCAAGATACAATCTAGTACCAAATAAGCAAGGCATATAGAAAGCTTTATATCCTAGAGGATTTCCGGAGTGCTACTTGTTATCACCATTAAGAGCAAAGTGTATTTGCTCTTGTATTTGTACAAGTGTTAGTAAAGTTGTTGTATAATTGGTAAATGAATCAAATCCTATCCATATTTTAATATTTTATCCTTTAAGCTCATCCGGCCAGACTGAGGAGTTGGCAGTAGGATGAGAGGAAGTTGAATTGCATAAGTACATAGAAACAGGGATATGACCAGGTTCTAAATATTGTTTAGTAGTTTCGAGATTTATGTTTCAGTGACTTATTTTATGGCATTGCTTCTCCTCCCACTGCTACTCTTTCTGCCTGCTTCCCAAACCAAAAGAAAAAGAAGCAAGAATTAAAAGGAAATATTAAATCATTTTAGGATGCATCAGGTAAAGAGCAGATAAATATTCCCTCACCTATATACATTGAGTCTACAAAACAATGACACTGTGGCACAAGTATGGAGTCAAAATGGCTGGAATCTGCTGTTTAGGAGAGCATTTAATGATTGGGAAATCGAGGAGGTTGCTATGTTATTAGGGGTCCTTAATAATTTCCCAGGTACTTCTGAGAGTTCTGATAAGCCAATATGGAAGATACACAACAAAGAGGTCTATACAGTGAAATCATGCTACTGGAAGATGAACCATAATGTCTCACGAACTGAAAGATGGCCCTGGAAACTGCTTTGGAAGGTGAAATGTCCATTGAATGTTTCATGTTTTGTTTGGCTACTAATCAAGAAGGCATGTCTCACTCATGAGGTCCTACAGAGAAAAAAGGCATGCAAATCTGCCCAAGGTGCTTTATGTGTGAACAGGAAGCTGAAGTGAACAACCATCTATTCATACACTGCCAAATAGCTACCAGTTTGTGGAATAGGTTTTTATGCATTTTGGGGGTTAGTTGGGTGATGCCAAAGACTACATTGGAGCTTCTGAACAGTTGGCTAGGAGTTGGAAGCAGAGGTAAAAAGGAAGAATGGTGGAAGCTCATCCCATCATGTATCTGGTGGTCCATATGGAAGAAAGAAACACTAGGTGCTTTGAAGGACAGAAAATTACTTGTCAGAGGATTAAAACAAACTGTATTAGTCTTCTTTTTTTTTGGTGTAAACAAGATTTGGTTGGGGGGGGGGGGGGGGGGGGTGGTAGAAGTAGCAGAGTTCTTAGGAAACTTGTAATCTGATAAACTGTATGGGGTGGGGGCCCATCACACTATGGGATGTAAGTTTCCAATTCATCATTTCTTGGATGATGAATTTTTTCTATGAATACAAGTTACCCTTTTCTCAAAAAAGAAAAAAAAAATTCTTTTTCTTCTTTGGAGGTGTCAAAGAAAAATCAAATCTAATCAACAGCTATTGAGAAGGATCCAGGACATCAAAACAAGAAAGAGTAGTACATTACCCTCCACACAGAATTTCTTTTAGCTGTTCCAATTAGGCATGGATGGTGCGAGCAAAATACAACTTGCAAATACGCTCTTGGTGCAGCAGCCAAAGTAGCAGACGACATTATAATCAAAGCCTTGACCATAACCTCAACAGATGGAACAAATGGAACTTGAGCATCCACTAAAGTTTCAGTATCGCTGCAACAAACCATTGGTCCGATGTTTTTTGAATCAGAAGAGATATGAAAGTACTTGAACATGAAATAGTTAGATATATCATTACTAATTGAACTTTAATTCAGTTAATCCTAATAGATAACCTTTAAAGACCCAAAGAATAATTCCTAATCAGCATTTCAACAAGTAAATTGAGTAGAGGACAAAGGTTTATGTGAGCTTTAAGCACAAACCTCAATTACTGCATGCTTATATGCACAATAAAGGAACAAACTATATGATCCAAGAAAAGAATACACATAGCACGGAACACTAATAGGATTAGGCAATCAAATGAAATATATAAAGTAAAACCATATAAATCAAGTGCAGAGATTTTAAGGAAATGCTGATGTTGGTATACTGGTTAAGAGAATGCTATTTCACCCAAGGTATTGGCCAAGTGGTAAGAAAGTAACATGTGATGTTCGGATCAGGTGCACATCATGGATTAGAACTCTGCCACAGACAAAAGCTTGATATTTAAAAGGAAAAAGGTACCAGTGCAGGCACATCATACTCCTACTTTCGAACAGTGTCCAACTGGCCATCAGAGATTTCTTGGTTATCAAAAAAAGTAATGAAGAGCAGAGAGTTAAAATTTTCTAAAAGTTCAGAGTTAGTGGACCTTGAAAACCACATAGGAGAGGTAACCCACACTAGGCAAGCCCGGTGTGACGAGCTCGACCCAGAAGGCAAACCCCTTGTTTTCGCTGGCAAGGGGTTTCGAACTTGAGACCTCCAACATGGAAGTCCCAAGCCCAAACCATTGGGCCACCCCGAAGGGTGAACTAGCTTTCTTATACCAAGAACTTTATGATTTCAGAACCTTATGCACTAATATATCCATCCATATTTTTTTTTCTTTGAGAAATTGGTACTGTTGTATTCTTCCACATTAAAGATATGTTGGAGACCTCCAAAAGAGAGATAAAGAGGAAACAAAAGAAAGACTAGTTACAGTGCACCTAGAAATTCTACAAATTGATCTACGTCTTCTATACACTGTTCATTACACCAAAAATTAAAAAATATAGTACAACTCCGCTTCACTTTCTGAACAGAACTGGACCTATCCTCAAAATACCTTCCATTCCATTCCTTCCACACTGGCCAGAAGGAATAATTCTCCACCCACTTCTTCTAACTCTTGCTCCCCCCCCCCCCCCCGCCCAAGCACATTTGAGTACTGCAGTATGACTTAGATATGTCACCTAAAATTTGATCTTGTTCCTAGCTAAGATCTATGCATCCTGGACCAAATCAGGTTATAAAATCCATATTACTTAAGAGTAATAGAACACCTAATCTCAATAACTTCTGTCTTTTTTCATGGCTGCAGTGCAAACAAGGTCCACTTCGAGACAAAATGGGTTCTTTTTTCTTTTTTTTGAGATGGTAGACAGAGTGGGTTCTTCAAACTTAATTTTCTTTTAAATCCATTTGTCTAAAGGTTCAGGGTGGGGAATATTAAAGGCATAAGCATGTGTGGAAAGTTCACCTCATCTTTATTTGAATAACCTTTTCACCAACAACAGAGAGATAACTCGAAAACTCAACCATTAAAGTTTCAGATAACTGTGAGGTAGCAGAAAGTATCCTCCTCGTAGAATTATAAGCTGCTCTTCGGATATCCCAATTTGGATGGCATAGTAAAAAGAGTATGAACTGTGAAGGATTAAGAACCGGTTAGAAATAAGGACAAATTCATTAAAGGATGATGACACCCAATTAAATAAACCTTGCCAATTAACCTGCATTAACGTCTTGACTGCAAAAGTCTCCAATACCCTGTAGAAAAGGGACATTCAACTTCAATAATGATACTTCCTGGCAACAAATTAAATATATGCACAGATAGCAAACTGAGAGTGGAATCTTCATCATAGTAGGATTCCCATGTTCACCATAAAACTAACCTTTGTGAATGATCTACAAGCATCACCTCAAAAAGGTCATGACAAGCCAAACAGTCCTCGATTGATAATTTTGAGGCCTGGAAAGAGTATCGAACCATGTTGAGAGTGCATTAAAGAAATTGCAACACAAATTTAAGATTTTCTCATGCATCTTGTATCAAGATATAGGTCCTCGAAGAGAAGGGCATAGAATTATCTTGGCATTATACTTCATACACTGTTGAAAACTTCTTAAGATGTTTAGGAACTTAAACCACTCAAAATGTCAATAGGGGAAAACCAACATCCTGGACTGTCAGGTGATAAAATGTGAAAAAACAACACAAAAGTTTAAGACCTCCCACTAAGAAGAGTAGAGGTAAGGAAGAAGGTAAATGAAATTTGAAGAGATGAGGCCTATGAAAAGAGCATCAGCTTCAAAGCCGAGAGTATTACTTCTAATTGTTCAGACTAAAAGCATGCCAGGAAAAATTGTCAATTCACCGAGAATGTCGTCAACCACATATAAAGTTCCAACAGAGAGAATATCATCTTATGCTTCTTCTGTGCCAACTTCTAACAACAATCATTTAAAATGACCAAAAATTAGCTCAGAATATTCACCAGAGGAATTGTCACCACTGACGGCTCATTCTGTGATACCAATGACCAAATTTTCTCCTTTATTATAGTCTCATCTAACAACAGCAACAAAGGCAAAATTAGAATGTGTGATAAGCAAAAATCCACATGAAAAGAAGTAACTGAATTGAATCACAGACTGTGAAAATTTAGGTCGGTAACCAGTTTTTTGTCACTAGGTCAGTAACCATTATTCATGCACCACAAAACTGAAAAGTCATAATAAACCTGCTTTAACATCCACTGCAGCAAGTTTTGCCACACAGAGTAATGCATAGATGCCATCCAACCGTTGTGCTGCTTTCGTGTAACCAGTTTTAACAAGTTGTATAAGAGCTGCCAGCAGAGGGGACATATGTGGAAGAGCATCAGCATTTTGGCACATTACTCGCAGGCAGCGAAGATGACCTCTTCTAAGTGCTTCCTTCTCTTTGAGGCCTGATGCAATGAGAGATATAACATCGGGCTGAATTGCATCAGCACATTTTGCAGTCCAAGTAGCCAAACAAGATAAACATGCAAGCTTGACCTCTTCATTACCTGGATAAACATAAAGAATAGCCCATAGATCTGTAAGCTAAAGAAGACATTGCAGAAGAAGGAACTGTCAGAGAGAAGCTAGGCACACACATCAACGTAATAAAGATACCGAAACCTACCATCATCCTTGTAACAAGACAAAAGGAAATTACAAACAGTCTTTGACAAGCTGTTAAGGTGTTTTCCTTCTGGGGCATTTGACAATTCTCGCAGTGCATTTATCATGCCAACTCTCTGATAGGGAAATGTAAGCCTTCCTTCTGAACCTGTAAATATTCCAGGTCCAGTAAATTAGTTAGAAAAATGCCATATCAACCAGTCAAAAGGAAAATATAAAGTTAGAAACACAACCTCCAATAACCAATTTGACTGCATTAAACATCGCTTCTATAGCATCTGGACTGCTAGATTTTATGCTTAAGCACCTTACGATGGATACAGCAGCAATCCTTCTATCTTCATCTGCATGTCTCGCCTGTGACAATAACACTGAAAGAATCTCTACAGCATATTTACTCAAATCAAGTTTGGCAGATTGCAGAAGGATTCCAACTGATTCCAAGACAAGCTCCGGATTTCGTTTCAACATCTTGACAGATGAGGGAATGACAGTGTTCTTAAAATCTTCATGTGTCAAACGAGAAAATAATGGAACGAAAGCATCACTGAGGCCCTTTGGTGGTTTTTCTCTTGCATTTAGAACAGCTTTAACATACATCTCAAGAAAATTTTGCTGCAGACAGAAACAACGCAATATATGTAAATATAAAGCACAGAGGAGGCCTAGATGGATCCTAACATATTTGGCTTCAAGTGCCATAACTTCTACATCCCAAGAGTTGCTTGAAAACCAATTCATACCTTCCATTGATCAAATGAAGGTGGATTTGCACTTGAAAATTCTAGCATCAAGAGTATAAACTCAGGACAATCCTTGTAAGTGATCCTTGAATCCCTTAGTTCATCCATGTAAGTTCTGTAAATATCTGGTGCCTGAAAACGGAACATATTATAAAGAAAATTAGGACCTCTAAAACCATGCTTCAATTAAGACCTGCATATTAGTCAGACGAGATGAAACCTTTGAAAACAAAAAGAACAAGCTTTTCTTGCAGGTCCGTCTAACATGGGACGATCCTTGCATACCAATATGCAAGATTGATGCTTGCGCTTGTGCTAGTCGACACACTGCGTTCTTTGATACTGAGGGAAACTGGCTATTAGTTAGGAGAAGACAAGACCAACTTAAGAGTCTGTGGCACCCTATATAGGATTGGAATTTGAACTGTTTTTCCATGAATTGTACAAGGGTTCCAGCAAAAGCTTTCATAAAAAAGGTTTCACCCAATGCTTTGATAACCACATTATCCACTGCAGCCCTTGATCCTCGATCATCATAAATAAATGTTGTACTGAAAATTACTTCTACCAACAGGGAAGCAATTTCAGCGGTCATCTCTGTACAATTCAAATCCAACAGTGAGCTTGAAAACATAAGATTAAATTCTAACATTAGAAACAGTAAATATGCATTCAATTTCTAATAGGAATACTCCACTAAAAAGTAATCTAGAAATGCACCATGAAAGACCACCTGTTTATCACTGTTAATTCAAGACCACCTTATTTTGCTTTTCATTCTCAAAAGAAAGTGGGTATATCACATAAGTAACATTGCACTATCTGTACCATATCCACATGTCAAAATCTGTGCAGTTAATGTCAACAATTTTTCTTTGTAGAGGAGTGACCTAACAACCCCTATACCCGTTTCACCTTATGGTACAGGAAAGACAAATATCACCAACACTCATTCATGTGTGATTTTACTCACTATTTTGAACATGTATCAATGGGAATTAGAAATGCATAGATAACGCTATCATGAAATGAAACAACAGAGAAGATTATGCTTTCAACCCAACCAACACCACCACCACCACCCCCAAAAAAAAGAAAAAACTACAATGATGGTGCTAAAAGAGGTAAAGTAAGCAATTCTATCCTACGGCATCTGATTTGCCATAAGGGAGTCTCTCACTTCCTATGCTGTGATGATTTCTAGTATATTGTGCTATCTTAATGAAACTATCGAAATTGTTGTTTTTTTTGACAAAGATGAAACTATTAAAGTTGTATGACCACTTCGTTGTTAGACAACACATTTTTATTTACTTAATTATATTCTCAACACATCCTCCCAGGCGGGGCCTGGTTCTTTCTTTTCATGTGATAAGCACATGGATATATTTTTTGATAATGGGCAGCAGTGACACTCGATACCAGGACCTCAGATTGCTTTGATACCATATTGAAGATGTATGATCATCTTATCTAAAAGTTCAAGTTATTTGAGAGACCAAACATTTTCCAACTTGTCCAATATATCACAAGGCATATCGTATCCTGATTCACTAATATGAACAAGGACCACTTAATTTGGGGGAAAAAATGATCTCCATCATTTATATGCATTAGTCTTACGGTAGACAAGTCGGTACTGGTTATGCAAACCATAACCAGGAAAGGGTCTCAAACCTTCAAAATGTCATGCAAAAGTTCTCAAAATTATCCTCTACAACAACATTCCCAGTGAAAAATTACCCTCTATAGCTAATATTAAGTATATCACCAATAAAATCCTGGAGACTGTGTACATCTTGTTTGATACTATTATGTAGAAAAACTGCAAGATTCACAATCCTAGAATTGACAACGAAACCATAGCAACTAAGAGTTGATCGAGCAAGAAGAAAAAAAAGAATTGATCAAGCTCTCCTTTAGCTGAAAGTTGCAGGTAAAAGACGGATTTCTTAGATTTGAATCATTTGATGGAGAATGCATGGCAAAGGAGTAAAGAGTGGTAAGATCACCCAGGAAGCTATCAATAGGTAGTGCACGTACAGGAAAGGGTCAAGGAGGAGGAGCAAGAAAAAGAGGCTAAAGAAAGGTCTATTATATTTTTAGAAGGATTCCCGGAGAATGAGCCCCTAAAGTTAGGTTTGCATAAAGCACCACGAAGATAGAACAATATCACCAAATCCAAGGAAATCAAATCTTTTTTTATAATTGAGAAATCCCAAGGGCTAGTCACGCATGGTCCAAACTTGCATATAATGAGCCCACCCCTTTATGCTTCTTCACTAAAATCATACTTTTGTATGTGCATGCTTCTATCCTATGGCATCTGCCTAACCTACAAATTACGTCCTATGCTCTTAATACTAGGCCAAAGCTCTGGCGGCAAGAAATTAAATTGTTCTTTTACAAACTAGAATGAGAGCCTATTAGGAATAGCTTAAAGCTTATGGCTTATAAGGCAAAAGCCATAAGTTAGAAATTTTGGTTTATTTTTGCTATTTTGTCTTAAAAACAAGTGCTTTAAAGCATTTTTTTAATCTTACTCAAACACTATAGAAGTGCTTAAAAGCTATGTTGGCTTAAAAGCACATAAAATAAGCAAATCCAAACAAGCTCTAAGTCTATCACATTGTCACCGAACCTCTTTGTCTTTGATAATCAAAATTTCTCGACACTGCAAACCAAGATGGTACAAAAAAAATATACAATGTGAAGTTGTGGCTCAATTACAACCATCTTGTCAAGTCAACAATAACACTTCCGATACACCCGCAGGTTGCAGCCCCATCTCCTCTCATATTAGAATATTTGTCACGGTTAATTTCCTCCATCACACTAACACGCACATACACGATCACTCAAAACTCATTTGCTACTCCCAATGCAACATAAAGCTCAAACATTTAATTCATGGATTCACTTGTTCAAAAAGAAGATACACAAATCAACATGTCTCCAAGATCGCAAGACTAAAAATATACTGAATGCAACTGCAATTTGTAGCATATTTATCTCATAAATGTCAAATGCATGTCCAAGTTTTATTTTGATGAAGTGCCATATAAATGTTCATATTAGACAAAACAAATACCCTTTTTAAGCACATCAATGCTTTCTAGTCATCCATTAATCACATCAATTTAGTAATGACTTTCTATGCCTCTCTAGGCACCTACAAAAGAAAATAGATGCTTAGTATATTCTTTTTTTTTATCACCAACTAGGGAAGTGCTCAACCTAACAAGGTCGCAACCAAAAGCAATATTTTCAACCAAAAACAGCTAATCAAACTTAGGCAATTGCGCACCTGCTCCTAATTCATTGAGAAACTCTTTTGTGAATTATTAAAACAATAAGAGTTGTACCGTCTAACTTCATTCAATTATGAAGCTAGGATTTTTTTAGCACCAAATTCAAAAATAATTTACATATTGATCATATTTTAGATTTTGTTGAACTGCATCATGGGTGCTCCAGCTAGTTATCCTAGATGTCAAAAGTTCAAGACTGGATTGAGGAATGCAAACTCATCTACGAAGATCCCATGAAGGACTTGTTCAGAACTATTAGGATGATTCAGTTATAATTCGATTTTTCCAGGAGAAATATGGAATGGATGCAGAAACAAAAAAGCTAGTTTCCTCAAGCATTCCCTTCTAATACACCTATAAGTTGAAAAATCTCCACAGGCTTTAACATACTTCCCCATAAAATTTCATGGCTTTTATTCATACCAAAATGCCATAATGGGGGCTGAAAAGGGAAACATGTTGATACTTAGCATTGTAGTACTATGGCGACATAACCATATCCCATACTCTTCTGCAAAAAACTCCATAAACCATTGTCTACTTTCCAATTGTATCAACCAATATCTACCATAAAAGATAATGGTATAAACAATGATCAACTGATTGACCAGGATGAGCAAATAACCAATCAAACCATCAAACACACACCAAGCTGACATTGTTGCTCTTTTCTTCATTGATGGTTCTCAATCTTCTTGATTAATTAATGTGCCAAACAAAAAGCAACTTTCCCAAATACAGGTGCTTCCATCACACACCATTTGAATCCTTAGGGCCACAAGATAATAGCATGTTACAGAAAGCTGCTTGAGAATCTACATTAACTGTAGGAGATCTTGCCGTCAATCTTACTAAGAGAATGCAAATCTATTTTAACTAGTGATTTATATACTTCACTGTTAAATAACTTTTCAATCGTGGTCATAGGGAACAAAAGATAGAGACGTGCATTCAATGAAATGAGAACATTTCCTAACAGATTGTTGCAACCTTTTCCTCAATGCAATCTTATATATGATCAGCTGTTCTTTGTAGGGATGGTCTAAGGCTTTCCAGAGTTGTATGCCTCTTGTCCAGATATCCCCATTCATTTGGTGAACAACAGAACTTTTATTCAACAAAAAAAAAGAAATATTAAATTTGATTAACTTTATTTTTTATGAAGTAAGTAGAATTAATCGATGGCATCAAGAAGATGCAAAAAGTTACAAAATCCAGGAAATATTAACTTAAATAAACTATAAAATTATCTTTGCACATTCGTGAGAAAATCATTTAATTTTCAACAGTTCAAACCATAACCATAGCCTTACTATTCCATTTCCTTTAATATTTCTGTTCCAATGCGCTACTTGGGTATCCAGATAAGATAACTAAAGATAATGACAACCTGTGATCTATTTCTCTTATATGGGTGCACGGATATAAGAACATTTTCTGGATTATTTTCCAGTGTTCAAATGTGTACAAAGTGACTTGAGTTAGTCAAGGTGTAATTTAGACTGAAAGACAATATTTTGATGATACTACTTATTAGTTGAAGCAAAGTGCTACAAAGTAAGAGTGTAGAGTGTATATCTGTAAAGGAAAAGTAATCTGCTCCTTTTGAATGCAAAATGTTTTCCCCACAAAGTATCAACATGGAAAATACTTCGCCAAAATACATGTTTACCGTCGTACCAAACAGACCATACCTCCAAAAAAAGAATTCAAACAATAGCCAACTTGGATGGGAAAACAACAACATGCATATTATAAACCATAAGAGAAAAATGCTGACCAGAATTACTGAGAATTGAAGGAATCTCATTGCGAAAAATCTGAATTCGGCGTTTGGTCGATGATGTTGCGACTGATGAACTAATGGAAGTTAGTGACTCCACTGGACTTGCCATTTGAAGCGAACGCTGATTTCAAGATTTGACTTAGAAGTGACTCAGTAGCCTCTCGCTCCGGAGATTCCAAAAACGGCGGAGAGGGAAGTAATGGCGACTCCACTGTGAAGGAAAATGAAGAGAGAAGCTATGAAAGATGAGATTTTAGGGTTTCAGATGGCTGCAGCAACAAGGCTGCAAAGTGTACTTAATTGAGAAGAGACCACCAAGCAGGAGGGCATTTCAAGTGTTGTCCTTTTCTTTTTTTTAACTTTTGTCTCATTTTTTTTTTAATACTTTATGTAGATCCCTTAAATTTGTCATAATTTTATTTAGATGTTCAAATTATAGCATAACATAATAAAATGGTTTTTATGCACTTTTTAATCATATTTTGAAAATATATTTGCATATTTTTATATTCATTTGTTACGTAGATAACCTAATCACATGAAATGTGTTTCCTTCTTTAATTAAAAATAGCAGCATCAATTTTAAACATGTATGAGATTTTACGATTGATTAAAGTAAATGCCTATAATTTTAAAAGGTGATATACTTTTTTTTTGAACGACCCTTGGGGGGGTCAGGGGCTTAGCAACACCCCCAGGCCTTATCATAAATAAAAGCAAAAGTACAAAGAGGGGGCATAAACCTTACCTCCACCTAAGGTGGTTTTGAGTAAGTTATCCTACTAAGGTTAACCAGCTAGTCTAAGGGAAAATCAAAGAAGACACCTAAGAGAGGACTCATCTCTTTACATATCAACTATGAAATTTAAATAAGGGAGACTCTCTCCTTACAAGGAGAATAAAAAACCTACGCCTATTCACTATAGCTATAATTAAAATTAACCATAGCCAAAATGTAAAAGGGTAGGGTACCAAAAAATATAGAACTTTCTATATATGTCGTAATGAGGTAGTATCAAGGTGGATGCTTGATTCTCTTGAGCTTCTTCCTTCTGAAATTGGTCATCCCCATTTTTTCCAAAACGTAACTTCCTTTTGCTGCTGGAGGAAGTTGCTGGCTAGTGTAGAAGTGCTGGTTTCTGCTGAATTTGTGGCTCCATTTAGCAAGGAAGTCAGTTGTACAGTTGGCTTCTCTGTAGATGTGTCTGCACTGAAAAAATTCACACTGTCTAGTGAGGTTTTAAAGATCAGACACTGCCTACATCAGCTTCCAAGGAGGCTTGTTGGTGGTGGTGATCCATGTTGTAACCAATTCAGAATCTACCTCTAGGACTAGCCTGTTATAACCATTCTGTAGACCCCACTGAATACCATAAACAACAACTTGTATTTCTGCTAAGTTGTTGGTTCCAATGGGGATAGAGAATGCATATACCATGTTTCCTGAGTCATCTCTAATAATGCCCCCTCCTCCAATTCTGTCCGGATTGGTTAATGCACTTCCATCTGTATTCAATTTGAAAATGTTGGGAGGTGGTTTTTCCCAAGTGACTGGATTTACTTTAATATCATGCCTGCACTCCTCAATTATCCTTATAACATCCTTCCAGTTCATAGGCCATTGTATATATGGATAGGTTGTTTGAAATAGAAGGTTGGTGTCTTTGAAAATCATGAATTGGACTCTTGAAATGCTGGATTTCTTCCCTCCATATTTGGCTCTGCATCTATTCTTCCACAAGTTCCAGGAGACCAGTAAAGGGACAACTTGAATTATGAGTTTGTGGACCTCATTTCTAGGAGTGAGACTCCACCACTTTAGTAAGTGATTTTTCAGAGGTGTGTATTGGTAGTCAACTCCAAACAGTCCTGAGAAAAATTTCCAGATATGAGTGGCAAAATAACCTGCTGAGAAGATATGATTAATGTCGTCTCATCCCTATCTGATGTAGCAGCAACACTTCGCAGGTTCCACACCAAAGCTGATGATCTTGTCATTGGTAAGCAATTTGAATCTAAGAGATCTCCACATCAAAAAAAAAAAAATCTTGAAAGGAATGTGTTTGTGCCAAATGTGAGTGTTGATCTTGGATTTTTGTTTTTTTGCCCTACATATTTCCCAGGCAGAGGAGCAGGAGAAATTTCCATCCTCTCTAAGTGTCCAAATGGCCTCATCCTTGACCCCTGCTTGGAACTGGATGTCCATCCTCAGAATCTGTGTTACTAATATAAGAGGAACCTATTGTCTGAGCTTAAATTCATTCCATTTTCCTTCAAGCAGGAAGTGGTGCACTTTGGTATTGTTTTGACTAGAAATTCCATTTATGAGATTACCAAGAGCTCCAACTCTAAGCCAATCATCCCACCAAAAGGAACAGTTGCCAGAATTGATCTTCCACCTGATGTTCTTTTCCATCATGCTCCTATTTTTTAGCATGTATTTCCACACAAGAGATTGCCTATTGTCCCATTTCCTTGCAGCTAGATGTGATATCCTGCAGAATTTAGCTCTAAGGAACTATCCCCAAAGAGACTCTTTGGTCCTGAATAACCACCAATGTTTGCATTGTAAAGAAGTACAGATATCAGACAACATTCTCACACCAATACCTCCCTCCTCACAAGGAAAACTCAGAGATTCCCAAGATGCCCAATGATACTTCTTTTTGTCTCCTTCCTTTCCCCAAAAAAAAATCTGCAATTATGCATTTCATGTACTTGATGGTGGTGTTGGGAAGTGAAGTTGCTGCCATGGTATGAATGGGGATGGATTGAAGAACATGTTTGATAAGAGTCACCCTTCCTCCAAAGCTAAGAAATCTTGTCTGCCATCCACTTATCCTTTTAGCCACCTTGTCCACAAGTTTGGGAATAGTAAATGATTCTTTGTCTCCCAATATATAAAGGACAGCCTAGATAAGTGATAGGACTGTTCTTTTGACTAAAACCTGTACAATATTTGATCATCTGGATAGTGTTCTGAGGAGTGTTAGCAGGAACCATGAAGTGACTATTGCTTTTGTTGATCAACTGGTCAGAAGTATCTTCATACACAGTCAAGGTGTCCATGATGAGCTTAATAGAATACTTGTTGCTAGAGGTGAAAATAATCACATCATCTGCAAAGATGAGATGATTAATTCTAGGGCCCTTGGGGTCCATCACGAAACCTTTATATGACATATTATAGTTTAACAGATTCAACATTCTAGAGAGGACTTTCAGTACCTAAAATAAATAGGGAAGGGGAAAGAGGGTCCCCTTGCTTGAGACCTCTGGTGGAATGAAAAAATCCATGTCTTCTTCCATTGATGATAATAGAGTACCAATTGTTGCTCATGATTCTCCAAACCATGTCAATGAACACATCTCCAAAGCCCATTTTCCTTAGAACTAAACAAGTGTAAGCCCAAGAGACTCTATCATAGGCTTTGGTCATGTCAAGCTTGATAATCACATTGTCTCCTTCTTTAGGTTTTTTGATACCATAAGTGATTTCTTGTGCCAAAATAATATTCTCAGCAATATTCCTTCCTCTAACAAACCCTGATTGATTTTGAGATATGAGGTAAGGAATGATGGGAACCAGTCTTACACTTAGGATCTTGGAAATGATTTTGTTGGTGAAATTGCTCAGACTGATAGGTCTAAGTTCAGAAAAATTATTAGGCTGAGCAACTTTAGGAAGCAGGACCAGGTAGGCATGTGACATGAACTTGGGCATAGTTTAACCATTGAAGAAAGACTGTACAACAGCAAGTAAGTCCTCTTTAATGACCTCCCAACAAGTTTGATAGAATTTCCCCCCATACCATCAAGACCAGGAGCAGAATTGGGGTTCATGGAAAAAACAACTTGTTTCAATTCCTCCATATTGGGTATCTCCTATAAGATCAGATTTTGCTCAGGTGTCACCAGTGTAGGAAGATGTTGGAGAATTCTTTCATCAATTCTGGTTTCATGGCCTGCGAAGATTTTCTGGAAGTGTTCACAGGTTGTAGTTGCAATGTTACTGTCCCCTTGAACCCATTCATCTGCACTGTTACAAATCTTGTGAATGAATAATCTCTTCCTTCTTCCTCTCATAAGGGCATGGAATTATTTAGTGTTAGCAGCTCCCTCTTTGAACCACTGAAGCTGAGTTTTCTGCTTGAGAATTGCTTCTTCTATTTTTAAATACTTGATATAGGTAGCATTGATGTAGTGAAGATTCTGTCTGTTTGTTTCAGTGTTATTGTTAATCAGCTCCTCTTCTGCTACTTTGACCCTTTCTTCAAATTCTTTTACCTTGGAGTAAATGTCTCCAAATTCCTTTTTAGACTAGGCAGTAAGAGTGGTAGTTAACTTTTTTCATTTTCTGGTGCCATCTCCACATAGGATTGCCATGCACTTCTTTATTCCAGCAAGATGTCACAGTGTCCATGAAGCTGTCATTATCAACCCAACAATGTAGGAATTTGAAATACTTGATACCTTGATTATCATTCACTGTCATTTCCATGAGAAGTAGGGTGTGATCTGATCCCACAGATGGCAAATGACTAATGTTAGTTTGAGGCATGATCTCCAACCATTTGTCATTTACCATGGCTCTGTCTAGCCTCTTCCACACCCTAGCCTGTTCAGCTCTTTAGTTACACTAAGTGAAGTGTTGACCACTATAGCCCAAATTAACCAGTCCACAAGCTGCACTAACAATAATGAATTACAGGCTTTTGTTCATATTATATGGCACTCCTCCATTCTTTTCTTCAGTTGAGGTAATCACATTGAAGTCACCAATGGTACACCAGGGGACATTGTCTGTTGAAATCTGGAGCATTCTATCCCAAATGGGTCTTCTTAACTGATCTTTACATTTAACATAAATGACAGAAAAAATAAATTTCTCCACAAATGCATCATACTTGATTACACCAGTGATTTGTTGATCATCATATTCCTTGAGAGTGTAAGTCATATCATTGGTCCAGAAGAGCCAAATCATGCCATTGTCATTGGAGAGAGCATTATCCATGTTAAGCATGATTCTGTAATTGTCGATGTGATTTTTGTCAGCAAAGGGTTCAAGAATTGCAATGATGGATATATGATGTATTTTCTTGAGGGATTGTAGCCTTTCCAGAGAGCCCTGTGTGTTGATGCTCTTGGCATTCCAACATATGGTGTTTATCATTAAAAACCTTTGCTTTTGGACCTTGTGTTTAGCCTGCTAGAAGTAGCAGATGAGCTGGTGGTAGTCAGTTGCTTGGATTGTTTCTGAGTCCTCCTTCCTCTAGGAGACAACCCATGATGTGCAGTA